AGAATGAAACAAAATAAAAACGTAGAGATGGAGAACGAACCGTCGCCGTCCTTGTCGAACAAGCTGAAGGCCTCCTTAAACTCAGAGATCTGATCATCGGTAAGCTGATCCGCCATTGCTCACTCGAGAAGAATATCGAATGATCTCTTCTTCCGAGGAACGATTCAGAAAGGCTCTGAAACAATGGAACCTAGAGAGAGAGAGAGAAGAGGAGAGAGAGAGCGGCGGCCACCAGCCGGAGAAGACGAAGAAGAAGAAGAGAGAGGGAATTTTGTTCCTTCGGAAGGGTCGGAGGAGAATTGCTTGGATTTTTATACGAGCGCTCCACCTCCTCTTAAATGCTCTGAATCTCGAATTTTCTTACTTCGATTTTACCCATTTGCCCTCCTTCTTTTTCCCAAATTTCCATATTCCATTCTTGACCTTCTTTACTTTTCTTTTTGTCAGTCATTTGGAATGCGAGTTTACCATAATGCCCTCCTTATTTGTTAAAAAAAACTAAAAAGGAAACTAAACTCCAATAAATAGTTTGGGTGTCTCCCATTTTAAGTGGGTTAAATACTTTTTTCTTTTTAATTTTTCTTTTTGTTCAACAATGTGTAGAATTTATCTCAAGGGAAAAAAAATGGAATCCGAACTTATATGTCTCAATCGGTTGAGTTATGTTCAAGTTGATATTTTAAGAGTTGATTTTCATTCCAATTAACTAAGTTATTTATTCTTATCAATCTCTTTTATCTATATATTTGAAATATTTTCACGTCAGCTTCACTTTAAGATTAAAAAAATAAAAGGAAAGACATCAAATATAATTGAAAAGTTTAGTTATATCAATTATTCGTGTCATGCGATTAATTTTGTTTGGCTGAAAATGATCCAGAACAATAGTTATTTTGTTGACCATCTAAGTTAAAAATGTTGTTCTCTCTAATGCATAGGTCTCCCTTTTTACTCGAGTTATGTCACTATGCAATTTTCGAGTAAAAAGTTGATTTTGTAGGGAAAATAATAAACAAATAAACAAATAAAAGTACCTTTTATACCTATATTAAACAATGACCTAATTTTATACTCAAAAATATTTTTACAAAAATCATGTCAAAAGATGAAAAAGCAAGGGTATTTAAGGAATTTGAACTCTATAGAATGAATTTGAAATGGAAATATCTAAAACAACTTACCATACAAGGACGCCTCCATCATTCTAAAAGAAATCATTGTAAATAAAGGAAAATCAAGTAAGAAATATTATTTTGATTTTGAAAAATGATAAAAAATAATGTTGCAACATAAAAAGTGATAAAATTTTAATTTTAACTAGACCACAGTACTATGAAATCTATCTACACAATTAAATAACTAAAAAAAAAAAGTTCATAATTTGGCAAGATATCTTAAACAAACAAAATAATTATTCAATGTAGCCACGAAAACACACACTTACAAAACTAGTCTTATTCGACTCAGTCACACAAACATCAACCGAGAATGCTTACAAATAGTCATAGTTAATTAAAAGTAAAAAAAAGACTCAAATAATGTATGATATTGATTTAACGGTTTATTAATTAATTAGAGTACCACTTAATATCATCTAAAGTTGATGGTTCAATCGAGCGGAAAAAGTGGGAAAAAAATTAACTCGTTTATTTCATTTTAAAATTGAATTAAGTGAGCTAAATACATAGGTTAAAAAGAACTAAAAAGAAGTTTATCTGAAAAAAGGTAAGGGCATTTAAGGTATTTGCACTTTCCAAAAACGAAATTGGAATTTGCAACATCTATGCCAAACCACGAGGGTTAAAAAGGTAAAATAACAGAGAAAGGCTTTGAAATAAATAAAAAGAAAGAAGCATCCCGACAGAATCACGTACGATCAGCAGCGCCAGAATCTGAGAAAACCTGTCTTCTCATACTGCCACGTAGCAACAAAACCAATTAGACCTCGACACGCAAAGCTACAAAAAGATCATAGTATGGCTGCGGCCGTAGAGGATCACGCCCTCCTCCCACCGCGTAACGGTAAAAGCGAAGGATAACGTTTTTTACTCGGAAAAAGAGGGAAGAGGAAAAGAAATCACCGGAGCGCAGTAAAATTCGGGAGGCGAGGTAAATTTTCTCTCTCTTAACTTTTAAAATAAAAAAAAAGGGAGAAATTAAAAGTTGAGTCAACGGAAAGAGAGAGATAACGCGGTTACGCGGTCTGGACGCGACGCGGTCATTTGGTTCACTTTTGACTGCCACGTCATACGAATAAGTCGCCTCCTGTCTATTGACAGGTGGGACCCACACACTCTCTGGGCCCCACCCTCTTTAATTTTTTTATATTTGAATATTCTCCTCGAATATTATATATATATATATTTATATTATATTTAAATTTTGAAAAAAGTTATATCGATGTATCTTAGGGATATGAGAAGGGAGGAGATAGAAATTGCTTCCATGTCACTGTCCTCATAAATGAAAGGGCTTTCATACAAATTTTGTAAGAATGGGAGATGAAATTTTTATTTTCCATATATCATATCACAAATTAGTGAGTGGGAGAATTTTTTTTTTTGGGTAATGAGGAGCAATTCTCCGTCACTTAAATAACAGGTCCTCGTTCTCTGTTTCTTGCCTTACCTCACTTTATATATACACATACTCAAAACAATCCTGTTCTATTTTTCTCTATATATATACCTATATTAAAAAAATTGTATTCTATGGAGAACTTGATCCTTGTGAAGAATATCAGCCTCGTGGGGAGGCCACAAAAATTTCGTGGGAATGAGGAATTAAATTGGGGTGGGGAGGTCTTCTCCGTCTCCACCTCATCCCGTGAACATCCTAGATGCATCTCATCTTTTAAAAAATTTATAATTCTTTAAAACTTTTTTTTTTATCTCGATCGATTCTGATTCTTTCTTTTTCTATTGATGGTAGAGTTCTCAAGAAAAAAAATATCCACTATCTTTTCCTTTTCTTTAGAATATAACATATTTTATAAATGTGAAAGTAAAAATTAAAAGTTTTAATTTATGGAAAAATAYTTTTTTGGACAAAGTTTATGGTAGATGTCAATTTGATCCCTAAAGTTTGTTGTTTTAAAAGTCCCTGAACATCCTTTGACCTTTTCTTGACTTAAGGAGAAAATGACGTGGCAATTAACAGATGATTGAGCTTTTCTAACTTGTCACGTCACCTATTAGTTGACAGGTCATTTTTTCATTAAGTCAACTAACAGTGAAATGATTCAATGACTCTTTAGAACCATTTTTCAAACTTTAAGAACCAAATAAATACTTACTTCACATACCTTATGGATCAAAAGTGTTCATTTTGAAACTTTAGGTACCAAATTGACACATACTTCAAATCTCAATAACCAAAAATAAATATTTTTTCTTTCATTTACAAGAGAGGTTACTGATGTCTTAACTAGTTAAAACAAATGAGTAATGTGATGCAGGCACTCATGTCCGATAATAATAATGTTATCAGATATAGCCCTCCCTGGAATAAAAGCTGATTGTGTTTGAGAAATGATTTCCCCCAAAAGCGATTTGCCAGGACTTTAGCGACAAGTTTGTAGGACACATTGCAAAGGCTTATAGACCTGAAATCCGTCACCTCTTGTGGGCCATTTTTCTCGGGAATGAGAACCATCTCTAATGGATTTCCTACCAAGTAACACTGCCAAACAGTTATCGATCACTTTATCTCCCACATCGCCCAAAATTTCTGGTAGAAAACCAACAGGCCTGGGGCTCTTGTAGGATGCATTTGCTTTAGAGCTCTCTTTCGATTTCCTCCCTTCCAAAAGGAACTGTTAGCTCTCTTTCGATTTCTCTACCGGGGCTTATTAAGAATGCCTTGAATTCTATTCTGCTTCCTCCTCGCCTTAGCTTTCGCTTGGAACCACCTAGTGTTCTTATCGCCCCATTTCAGCCAATTTTCCCTTCGTCTTCAACAAGTAACTGTGCTTCCATTTGATGAATTAGAGGGAAATTTAGGAGTAAAGGAATGTTATAGGCTTCTTTAATGGCTTCTTTTATATTCCTTTGTGTACTTCTGTTTATTTTCCAGCCCCCCAATTCTTAAGAGATCTTGCGCAACGACGATCCAGCGACCATTCTAATGGATTATTCTTTCCATTATTCATCTTCCAGTCTCCATTTTGTAAAATAAGCTCCTTCCATTCTGGGTACATAACCACCTCCTTACTTTAATTATTTAGAATTATCATATCAATAAATAAATCGTAAAATACATTTTTAGTCGTAAGTTTTTATTTAGTCCCTAAGTTTAATCTCTAAAAAGTTCAGTTAATTCTCTGTTAGTAGATTGATGCAGACCTGACGTTATTTTATTTACAATTTATGTAGCATTTTTTCCTTTTTAATTTCTTCATTTCTCTCTCTCCCCTCCGGCTTCTATTTTTTAGATTTTTTAAAATGTTAACCTCTTAATCAAAGGATAGGTATCCATTACTGTCCATTTAAGCTCACATTAGTTACTACCCATAAATACTTATAACTATATATCACTAATAATTTATTGACTTTTTAACCTAAAATTAATTTTAAAAAATAAAACAAGGCTTTTTTCTTTTAATGAAAAATTCAAATAACTTGCTCTAGCTAGCATCGGATAAGATGGAGATAGAGATGTCATTTATCAAATAACTCTTTCTATCTTTTTTTTTTTTTACTATTACTTTTGGATTTAGCCAAAATCACGATCTTACTCTTTCCTTTGAAGTTGGAGGTTCAATCCCTCGTTTTCCTTTGAAGTTGGATGTTCAATCCCTTGTTTCCAAATTTGTTGTACTCAACAGAAAAAATTAGAAAAAAAAAATTGGATTTAACTTCTAATTTAATTTTATGAGTATACTTCTTTTATTTTGACTTCAATCCCTTATTTTCAACTTTGTTGTACTCAAAAGAAAAAAAATTGGATTTAACTTCTAATTTAATTTTGAGTATACTTCTTTTATTTTGAACCACGGGTGGTGGGTTATGTGTCCAATTTTGTATCGAGATCTAAATTTCCATTAAGATGATTAACAAAATTTAATGCAATAATGAGTCGTTCGCAACAAGGGATAACTTGGGTGGCTTGGAGTGTGAAGGAATATCATCGTTTGTATTATATACCTTGAAGTATTGTGTTATGTATTCAAAATCTAATCAACTCCCTAACACGATTTTTATGATTTAGAAAAAAAAAATCAATGAAAAACTGTAGTTCAAAACAAAAATTAAGAAACTACCCAAATTCTAAATTGTATTCCATATTTTATTTTATTTTTATCTTTATTTAATATAAATTAGAAAAGAAATATGAGTAATGTTTCTAATGGATTCCACCTACAACGTGTCATTATTTAGACATTAATATAAATTGTTAAAAAATTAAGCTTATTGTGTAATTTGAATCCTAAAATAGACTAGTTGTGTATTAAAATAAAAAAATTTAATGCAATGAATCAGGGTGATTAGAATAGTCTTTGTGACAAAATAGAAATTTTAAAGTTTGGAAACAAAAATAGAATATTTGAAAGTTTAAGTTTAAAAATAAAGAAATCATCAAGTTTAGAGATTAAAGTATACTCTAAACCTTATTTATTGGTTATTTATCATCAGAAAATTAAGGGTTTCTCTTGATCAGTTCTCTCTTTGTTTGTTTCTTTTTTTTAATATAAGTTTAGAGAGCCCATTAATTAATTCCTTAAACAAGTTAACTTATTTAATATTTCTCAACTATAAATTTCCTTATTATATAAATCACAAGAAATTACAAATTTCAATACATTATGTGATGTGAATAAATTGATATATATATATATATATATATTTATATTTATATTCATTATTAAAATTGAACTTGATTTAATTACTGAAAGCATATATATAATTTTTTTAATTTACTATTATTTTTAAAACAAAGTCAACTTTTCATTATTTTTAAAAATAAAATTCATAAAGGCGACCAGCCAAAAATATGATCATTTTTTAAAGTAAGAGTTTATGTAAAATAAACCTTTTTCTTTTGTCAGCTAATTTATTCATTTATTTAAAACATGAAACTCCACTAATAATCCAAATTTGGATCTAACTAAGTGGAGAGTCTCATCTTCTTAAAACATCTTTTAATATGAACTTCAACTTATACTATTTCAATGACTTGTAATTTTTGTTTTTTGCTTTAAGATTTTGATTGATGTCCTCTCAACTTATTTTAATTTTAGTCATTGTATTTTTAAAATATATTTTTTAAAAAGTGACCATTTTTATCTCATTTTTTCGGTCATAATTTTAGCATGACACACTTCACTTACTCAATTTCTTGAAATGTAGCAATAAATTAGTATTGAAGAATTTCCATTGTGTATACAATTTATGTTAAAATTTTATAAATAAGAATTAAATTGGTCACTTTTTAAAAATAGAGAAACCAAAATTGACGTTTTGAAAGTATAATGACTAAAAATGAACAAAAGTTGAAAGTCTAGTAACGAACATTTTGAGAGTAGAGAGACCATAATGAACTAAAGCCAAAATTTAAGTGATCAAACCTACTTAAGTAAAAACTTGAATGAATTTCTATTTGAATGATAAGTTTTCTTAAATGCAATTTTTTTTTTCTTTTTAAAATTTATCATCAAAATTAATTGACAAATAATTTTCTGTATATTGTATCCTATATACTCGATTGAGTGTTTCAAAAAAAAAAAATACTCGATTGAGTGAAAAATAAATAAGTATAAGAACGAAAATGATTATCTCTTTAAAATTCGTAGACTAAAATAGATAATTTAATTATTAAGGGCTAAAAAAGTATCAGATCTACAAATGGATAACCATCGATCCAAAACCTTTTTTATTAGACCAAATTATATAACATGTCTTGTCTAAAGTATAAGGTTGGGTTCAATTAAGCTCCTATCATCTTAAAACTTTTCATTGGCACAAGGCTCGAACACAAAACTTTATTTATGTAATACACAAATCATACGTCCTTGTCACTACGCTATCCTGACTTTTTTTTCACCACTTAAAAATTTAAAAGTTAAAAAAGTGAAGCTTTTAAAACAATAGACTTAGACATAATTGAAACCCAACTCTATATAATTAGCCCTTTTCAACTACTAATATGATACGGTTTAAACTCTACCCCTCTCTGATTCCATTCAAAAGAATTATACAGATAGAGCAGAGGACTCGAAGCCAAAAAAACAGGAAGGAGAGAGACAATTTCCTAGATTATATTCCCATGTGAGCTCTAGATTTATAATTTTGTCCGCAAAAAAATTTTAAGAATAGAAAGATTATTGCCCCTCAAAACATTATTTCTGCCTTCCTAGTTCCTCCTCATGGGCTATAGTAGTAATAATAATAACAAAACTATTATCAAACCGAGTCAATAACATCTTACAAGAATAAAAGACTGACTAAGAAAAAGTGCATGTGCATGCATTACTACAAGAAATTTGAGTTTTTCCGACGCTTCAAAACGTCGGAAAAAGACGTAAAAACGTCGAAAAGCTACTCATTCTTGTACAACGCTAATTTGAGCTCTAGAGGAAAATTAGTACTCAAAAGTGTGAATGTGGGGACATATCTATGTGTATGGAAAAGAGAAAAACGAAAAGAAATCAGAAGGAAATTCAGAAAGGCAGTCTTCTCCTACATGCTTCAAAGGGGGGAATCATGGAATTATAATAATCAATGGGGAGGAAGAAATTAGAAGAATAAGGAGAAGAAAAAGGCATATCAGTGAGCATCTCATCAATCAAGTCTCTGTAAATGTGATGTTGTAAAGCCATACCTATTTTCGCCATCTCGCGTTTGAGGCCCCATGAGATTTCGTTGGAGATTTCATCCAAGCTCTCGCCCATGGCCTTGCTTCTCCACGTTAATGGCGGATCATCATCTACCTCATCATCCTTCTTCTTCTTCATTAATAATGTCGATGCCTTGAAGGAGTCGTCTTTTTCCTCAACTGTTGGCTTCTTGATCTTCGGCTGCTGCTGCAATATTTCTTGTCCTGCACATTTGGAAGCCTTGTTGTTATTAATTATATTTAGCCTTCCAACATTGGTTTGTTATATGAAATTCATAAAATTTTAATATCTTAAAAAAATTGACCACAATAGGGTTTGAACACATGTCGTGAGGATTTACTGATCAATAAATTTTTATAGAAAAAGGGTAAATTTTACGTTCTAACTTTTTATATATACCTAATTAATCTGAAACAAATTGGGGAGAAAACTTTAAAATCTTTTAACCTTTTATATAATTTTTTTAATATAAGAGAGACCGAGTAGGGGCATCATTTCACTTTTTTCACATGCTCCCTGTGACTATTTGGCTCACCCATGTATCAATTTTTACCTTTTATTTTCTAGAATTGTAACTATTCTTCTCTCTACTTACAGTTCCTTGTTAGTTTTCTTTTTTTTCCTACCCTCTTTTGGTTAAATAACTTTTAAAAATTGAGCTATATAAACATTTTTCAATGGAAAGTTAGTTTATTAAATATATATATATATATATAAATCTTCTTTTGTTTAAGTTTGTTGTTTTTTTTACGATGATACTCTATGTATTTACGTATATTTTACACCTAATATGTGATTATGGCTTAAGAATTTTTAACATAATTTTTTTTAGTACGAGAATTTTTAATATAATTAACTCTAAATTAAAACTACACAAAAAATGATAAATATAATGACAAAATAATGAAGAGAAATCCAAACTGTATTTGTCACCAAAAGTAACAAAAGTTGTATGCTCTTCTTCACTAAGTGTTGTTTTCTGTACTGTATTGACCACACCAAATAGAGATGGAGAAAGAAAAGGGCCAGCTGAAAGAACATATTATGATATTTCAATAAAGGAGAGAAAAACAATAATTCAAAAATTAGTGACGAATATAACTCAATTCAATTAAGCATCAATAATATGGACCAAAAGATCAAATAATCAAATCTCCACCTCCCACATGATTTAATAACTCAAAAAAGAATTTGAAAAGCTAGTGTGAGCTGGAAATTTTTCTGAAAAGTGAGGCAAATTTTGAACTCCTAACTTCATAATCTTGCAACTTTAATAATTAAAGAAGATAAATTAGAGGGACTCAAATACGTAGAAAATCACTTGGTTTTAGCTCTAACTCTTCTCTATTAGTAACTTTTTATGAACAATACTTGTCACACTAATCGGTATTAAGTTTTTAATAACTTTTTGGTGGAACTACTAAAATTTTTTAGCCAATAAAAATATGGCAGGTCAGAAAGTTAATAGGAGCTCTACTGTGGTGGAGCAGAGATATTACACAGTGGTAGATCGGTGGTGGGGATATAGGATGGGAGTGGAGGAGAAGCCTGGAAACAATGGCTTTAGAAAAAGCCTGGTTTTTTTGCCGAGTGAAAGCCATCTACTGCTTTCTTTCTAAGCTATCTCTCTTCCTTATTTCTGAAAAAAGTAAAGGAAGGCTGTATGTTCGCTTAGCTTTGTTAAACCAATATGACTTGACCGAATCATTACAAAGCATTCCCATTTGCTTACTATGGACTTTGTGTGAAAGAGTGGTCCACTTCCTCCACTTAGATTATATATTTTTTTTTGGATTGAGAGGTGGATCTTTTGCTGTCCTATATCTAAGGACACTTGCTCGCACCCCTAAGGTCCAGACTCGGGAGACATCAAGGATTTTTGATATTAAGCTCGCAAGAAGATTCAAATTTAGAGACCTTTAAGTCAGTATAACTAAGACATCCAAGTCCTTGTTAACTGGATTGAGCCTCGAGGCTCCGCTCAGATTATATATACATATTTTTTATAAAGGAAAGTTAAATTGGATGTGAATGAGAGAGAATGGAAATGAGAAGTCAAAAAAGGGAAGAAAATTTGTGGAATGAGGGATTATGTTTCCAAGCTAAAATTATTCTGGAAAAGAAAAAGAAAAAATGAGAATGAAAGAACGAGGGATGATGTTTAAAGAGATTGTCATTATCTTACTCTATTTCCATCAAAAAAAAAAAAGGAGATTGTCAGTATTAATATTGTTTATTAGAATAAAATTTAAATTATGATGGGAGACCAAGAAAAGGAGAGAGAAAACTCAATGAAAGAAAAAGCAGAAAAGGTTGGTGAACCCACCAAAATAAAAGAGTAAAAGTGACATTTTCTGAAGCAATCAGTCAATAGAAATAATTTGATCTTGTGGAACTCAAAAAATTGAAAAGCATTCTTTATTCATCAATAAAATCATACACTGAGAATTGAGAATATAAAGGTCAGTAATCCTCATTTCGTTCAAATAAACATGGCCTAATTCTCAAGTAATTAAATGGTACCTACATTGTATTATTAATCATGGGAATTCATGTACACACAAATGGATTAAACCATCCAAATCACACAAGTTTTTTTTTCTGGATAGTAATAATAATTACGGTTCATATTGAACTTGTTTTTTACTGTTTGTTTTTTTATTATGGATTTCAACCACTTGTGAAGATGGAGATTTGAACCTCCAATCTTTAAGTTGATGATATAAGTCTTAATAATTGGGTCATGTTCATGTTAGCTAACAAGTTAACCGTAATCCTTGAGTATTATATCTATTTCTCGTCTCTAACTCATCCCATTGCTAAGAACTATGGACGATCATATGGATTATGTATCCAATAATTTCATCTCATCATGATCATACTTTTAATTAGAATTTGGAGATGTAGAAACTTGACTCTCACCAAATTTAGATAAATTATTCAATGGCTATGTTTATTGGGTACCATACATGTAATAATTACAATGCTAACTGAAAAGCATCTAGTATGTCCCCTCATGCCTAAGCAAACAGTAAAAAGCAGTGAGCCTAAAATGCCATGAATTGGTGTTGGGAATCCTATATTTTGGCATGCTATGCCTTCTACTTTTACTTGAAAAAGCACTGTTTTCTTGTCTTCATTGGACGATTTCTGTACTACCAGGCCTACTATTAGACAGTACCTCAACCTCAGGCATTTGATATTTCTTACAGATACATTAAATGAATTTATTGTATAATTTGAACCGAATATTACCTCCAAAATTAAGTTTATGATAATTCTTTATTCTTTAGGGGAGCCAAGAACAAAAGAGGTACACCTTAATTAAAAAAAAAATTCCTCTTTGGTGACCTTTTGTTCTTATAAAAATTTCTAATAGATATATATTTTACTGTTTCGTTCAATTAGTAGAACTGATTAAATATTTAAATTCTTTAAAATTACTCCAAGAATAACTAAAGGGGAAAAAGAAAGTTCAAGAACAAATGCATTCGTGTGAATTAATTATGAGGTGGAAAAAAAGCTGCCTGCCTGATATATTTTCTTTGCCTATACATGAGATTCCCACATAGTTTTTTCTTTTCTTACAAGTTTTTACTTTAACTTCCTTTTATTCCTTCGTTACTGTTTTTCGACAATTTTGTAGACAACTATACTATATCTTCAGAACTAAAATTTAGGTACCCAATTTACCCTTTATTTATAATAAGTCTTGAACTATTAAAATTCACCAAAACATTGAATTATCCGTTTTCTTTAATTCATATATATATATATTATTTTTTGAGGTTCACAGTTTTACAGTTGAGAGACATTCAAATATAATAATATTAATATATTTGATTAAATTACTAATTCGATTCTATAGTTTAGGTTTAATTTCAATTTAGTCCTACCAATTTCAATACAACTACATACTAAATTGAAACATAACAAATTCTTAATTTAAGAGGTCTTTCTTTTCTGGTTAAATTAATTTTATCTGAATTTTCATGTTAAAAGAAAAGAAAAAAGTTCACAATTAGCAATTTGGTACCAAATTGAAGGCTAAGAACTGCAATGTACGTACCGTTTTCGCGTCCTCTGGTGGTACGATTGATTCTGTTCAGATGCAAGCGACTGGACTCGTTGAGCACGGACACTGCACTCTGCTGCTGCCGCTTCTCGCCGTCGCCACATTTACTGTCCCTACACTTCCGTCCAGAAATCGTCCTTACTTTTTCTCGATTCAGGCATTTTCCGGCAATCGGCGTCGCCGGTGGATGACTATCCGGAGACCGATACGCCATGATAATCTCCTTCAGAGCCTTCAAGTCATTATCGCATTTCTCCAGTGCTCCCAACAGCTTCCTTCTCTTCTCGCTGGATGACGTTTCCACCGGTACCGATTCCAGTCCCATCAACCGCGCTACTAGAGCCGGAGAAGTTCCGATCGTCGTCGCCGGCGAGTTCACGGAACTCGACCGCCGTATCTCCGCCGAAAGAGTCGGACTCCTCGTCGGCAAATCGGAGGAGATTCTTCTGATCCGTAAATCAACAACCTCCGTTCCTTTTCTTTCTTTATCACTTCGCGGCCTTCGCTGTTCCTGCGATTGTGGAGAAGCCTGAGAACCACCAGACGCTGAGACTAGGATTTGGTCCGTCGGAGAAGAAGAAGAAGAAGAAGAGAACACAATAATATCCTTCTCCTGCTTACTCTTTCCTAAAAAAACACCGCAGAAACTCGATCAATTTAGTGCCAAATGAGCTCTGAAACTTCAATCGAAGGAAACTAAAAAGAAAATTAGAGTAACGAACCAAACGTGAGGGATTTGATCTTGTGGCGATTCTGGTACTTGGAAAGAAGATGAATAATGCCGGACATGCAACCAATGCCTTTAGCTCGAAGACTTTCCGGCGGAGTATCCCGGCGAGAAGTCGACGATAATTGACTATTTTGCCTCTTCATGGATTCAAAGTTTCCCTCTCTCTAGCAACCTTTTCTGTGTAACAATGGCGAGGAATCAAAATTCTATGTGTGAAGCTCAACAGCAATGAGAGAGAGAGAAACAGAGATGGGAGTGTGTAAAGCAACTGCCTATTGCCTATATATATATATTTTTTTTTTTGGCAAGGAATGTTGTATAAATAAATTTATAATATTAATACTTTTGTGGGCCTGAAGTTTACTTGGAGCCCTTGGATTTGGGCTCCCATTCCCTTTTTAGGGATTTGAGCCCATTTCACTTTTTCCTTTTGCCCTTTTCTTTCCTTTCTTTTGAGACATATGTAATTAAAGAAAATAATTGAAGAGTAGCCAATAACATAGGAGTAGGACATTTTTTTAATATTGTAAAAAATAGTTTAATTATTTCCAAAAATAATTTTAAAATAATTTTTGTTTTTATTAGCGCGAGAGATCTTGTCCAAGTAGTAACATGTCGTTATTGTCACGTTTAAGCAAGGTCGTCTCTTTAAGACACTGTATTGCATGAGACGAACTTTCTTAAATTTCGCAATGTTGTCTCTTGAAGAGACGAAGACTTAAAAACAACAATATATTAAAATTTATTTTTCGAAATAATTATATTTAAATAATTAGTTTTTTTTTACAATATTAAAAAAAATATCCCTAATTTTGCTTCCTAAATTTTTAGAATCAAAATAGTTTTTTATATATAAAGTTTGAATATTAATAAGCTCCTTGTGAAAATTATGGGTAACTAATTTTTAATATCGCAATATTATTGTTTAATTATTAGTATATTTAAGGAATTAAACATTGATTTACATATAAATTATAAATTTATTAGTATTTATACTCACTTGTCAAAACTTTTAAAATATCTCGACATTTTTTATATTTCGCCACTATTTTCATATTATTATAAAAACATGATATCAAAGGTTAATGTAAACATAATAAAAAAATAACAACTTTCAACTTACAACTACAAACTTTTGTTTTGATCCTCTACTGAGAAAGAATGACCAATTTAATTTATATTTACAAAATTTTAACTCTTTTTTTTTCTATTGAATGCAAAATACATAAATTTTATACACTATATAGTTCTTTTTTTGATATAAATTTAAGACTTCATTTCAAAAAATTTAGTGAATAAAATATGTTAAAATTATGATGAAAAAAAAGATGAAAATAAAAATAAATGAACTAAAATAACCATGTAGAGATAAAAAAAAAAACTTATTAGACTTATTAGACTGTTCGATTAGGATTTAATCAATTTAGTCCATTTCAATCCATTTGATTTTCAAAAAATAAATTTTGAGCATCATATATCTTTTTAATGTTTCAAATTTTAAATTACCAAAAATAGAAACTTCTACACTAAATCACAATAATATAATTTTCTTTTAATAAATTTGTAACACTTTACCTATTGCTTTTTATTGAATAAACCTATTGACTTAAAAACAATAATAAAAATAATCATACAGTTTATTTTATTTAATTTAAATGGTTAATACTTTTATCTATGGGCGCTGGCACAAGAACTTAGCCTCAGCATTCTCATCGCTGCAATACAGGCATGGGTGCTGCTCCGCCAAGCCCTGCTGTTTCAACCTCTCCCTCGCCATGACCACCACCTGTTTGTTCGAGAGCGCCCCCGGGTTCTCCTTGAACACGCTCTCGATTGCATTGCTGAATGCCCCGTAAGCTTTCCCTCCTGCACCACTCGGGTTCATGTCTGCTGAACTCTCGTTTGCTTGGCACCCGCTCAGCAGAATCCCTGCATCGGGCTTCACTGCGTTGATCGAGTCGAGCTCACGCGGGTGCAGCTGAAACTTGAGGCTGGCGTCGGCTCCGAAGGATTCCAGCATGTGGGTGCCAATGTCTGTTGGGTTGATGTTGGTAAGTGATGAAAGGTGCTGCAGAATTGATTGGAAAGGGATGGTTTTTGCCTTTGCAACTGCAGATGGAGGTGGGAGTTGGAGTTTTTCGCCGTTGATTATGGTGGAAGGTCCGATCTGCTCCTTCTCTTTGTCGATTAGACCACCGCTATGGCACGAGTCGGAAACCATGGTGAAGCTGGCTCCCTTAGGCAGGCGGTTGACAAGGTGACGGAAATCGATATCTGCATAAACAGAAAATTTCTCAGCTAAAACGATAGCAACTTCAAGAATGTTTCCTTCTCTAGATAACAACAGACAAACCTGTAATGAGGTTGAAGTCACAGGGCACAATGGCCTCATCTTGATGAAGGAAGTTGCCATGTTTCATGGATGGAACTCTGGTTCCATGTCCACTGTAGTGAAAGAACAGAACATCTCCCGATTCAGCCTTACCAATCATTCGCCCAAGCGAGCGCTTGATATTAGCACCGGTGGGGATCAGCAATGAGCCCGGCTCATCAGTCAACACCTGAATATTGCTCGGATCAAAACCGAACCTGCTCACCAACTTTTCTCGCATGGCCATTACATCATTTATGCAGCCATGTAACTCATACTTGGTATTAGGGTAATTGCATCCCACCAGAACTGCCATCCTCTTCATTCCCTCCATTTTTTGCACCAATCTCTCTCTCCTTACTCTCTCTCTCTCTCACTCTCTCTAGTTTGATATGATGGTCTGCAGAACTCAGCCTTTTTTATACGAATACAAAAACAAACAAAATCATAACGTCTAACCTGCATTCTGATTCAAGCTATCTTATTGCTTCCTCCATTGGCTTTAGTTAGCTTTCAAGCTTAACCATTCTCACATTTACATACGTACAAGTTAAGTCTCACTGAATTTGGGGGGGTTTACATAACTAAAAATGGACAGATCTGAAACTTTATTCCCAAATTGAAAGCTTTCAAGATTACAAGAGAAAAGTGTCATATATAATAGAAGTAGGAGCTTTTCAATCTACACAGCTAATCTTGGTTAAAGGAAAGTACTCATCCATGCTTTCCTTCCGAATCCCTTTTCGCTGCTCGAGTATTTTCATCTAATGTTGGATGAGAAACACTGCAAAATCGCGTTCAATAGGCTAATTTGTTTTTTCTTTTCCATAAGGAACATGATTACTTCATTGAAGCTATAGAGAGGACAAGAGGAAGACAACTCTCCAGGAAAAGATCCTAAGACAGAAAACCTTTCAATTGGCTGCTAAAGAAGAAAATGTGTGATTACTTACAATTTATAAAAATAATTTGAGGGCATTCCAGGGGGAAGAAGCAACGCAAATTATAAGATCCCAAAATATCTTCCCATCATCTTCTGATATCATGAAAAGTTATTCTATAAGCCAAGTTGCAAGTTACTGCTAAGAGTTAAGACCCATCACCAATCAGCCTCACATGATGACAATTAACATCCTTACCAAAGTCTTTCTGAGTAAAAATATAATCCGAAAAAAGATGGTTGGCTGATTCAATATTTCCACAACAGAGAGAAAACTGAATACACTAACAATGAAATTACACAGCACATGAGCCCTTCCTGTGTCATATGAAGATGGAGAACCATATATAGTTGTTCCCAAATTGAAGATAATACGAATTTGAATGGTCTATTTTTTCAACTTTGGGAAGCTAAAATGAACAGAACTTGCAAGAAATTTGCATACTCTAGTTCAGTGATCAGAAACTCAGAGTGCTTCTTTTCAACACTTTTCAATAGATAATATGAAGATGTTTTTATCAAAAAGAGAAACAAAAAAGGTTGAGTTTCAACCTGAATCCATGATGTCAGAATTGGACTAACAACCTAATTATATAAGCTTAGTCAAGTTTACAACTGAAACCAATATACGTAAACCATTTTTTTTATATCCGTGTGTCCAGACCAGCTTGCGCGCACTTCGACTAATCACGGACCAACCGCCTGACCCTACTACATTTGCTTGACAAGGATATTAAATCCTAGGTAGGTGGCCACCATGGTTTGAACCCATTTCCTTTAAGTCATTTGCTATTTACATTGGCCCTTATTGACCACCAGGTCATCCCATGATGGTTATGCATATGCTGTTTTTGCACCTAGGTTCAGGAGAACCACCACGCCTTGCCACACTTAAGTGCAACACTTTTTTAATAAAGTAGGGTAGCAACTAAAACTTAAAAAGAAGAAAAACTTAAACAAGAAACTGTTGGTTCATCTCCTCCATTTGACCTTCTCTCTATAACCTCTCTTTCCCTCCCTCAAATACTTGGGACTCGGGAGGAACATGGAAATTAAGAGGAAAATGTGAAGGGCTATAACTCTAATAATGGGAGAAAATGAGGATGTAGGCCTATTTAGTGATAATGGAATTTTAATTTTTAAATATTTTGCAATGAGATTTCCTAGTTTACTTTTATGATTCCGTAGAGGATGAACATCTCGTAATACTTAAATTTTGCCCAATATTTCATTTTCTCTATCTCATGTTTCATACTAATTCTTAGTATTATGTATATATGTGTATTTATATTTTATTTATTATGCACCTCATCTTATTGAATCCCTCACATTTTTTTTTTTTTGCCTCACCCTTAAAACCCAGAAGACGAGTGTGCTTTACTGCCGTCCGTGCTTTCAAAAATAAGGTATAATAGATGTGATGATTAATCTTGTTTCATGACAATTTTGGCTCAGAAATGCCCTAGATCTGAAAATACAATGCTAACCCCTCCACCTAGCAAAAATCCCCACAGGGAAAAAACAAGGGGTCGAATTTTAGGAAAGGGGACGTAAGAGGGAAGAAGAAAAGCCAAAGAACATTTTTGTAAGACCTAAATACGGGCCAAGTTAAGGAAAGTTATAGCAACTAAAGATCTTTCCAGACTTTAAAATCTGAAGTTGAACTGTTATAGTTTATAATACCATCTTGACACCCCATAAACAAGGTAGGCCGCACAGGATCCATGTTTATCAATGCATGGGCTCTTCCTCTTGGACTTGCTGCAACAGCAACCTCCTCCGCACCAATTATCACTTCAGCATATCCTTTATCACCTGCCTTGCTGTTCTCCAACTGCATAGGGTGCATAAAGTGACACAGAATCCAAATTGGTAACAGGATAAGACAATTAATTTACATAAATAGAACAAGATACATTTTCGCTTCTCGTTTCCTACTTGCTTTCAAATTTTGAGAAACATACGGATTTGGCAATTGTTTCATATACCTCATTTTTAACTTTCAGAAAACATTCCCAAAATTATCTACAATGTTTCTTGTATTCATGGTGTTTGGGTAAGCTTAACAAGCACCTCAACTAATCTCACAAGAGAGCTACATCAAGGAAACTTGTAAGATATTAAATTTTAGGTAGGTGACCTCTTTTTTTCTTCCATAAATTTAGATACAATAAAATTTGGTTTCTTGTTTTTCAGTTCTCATTACTACTTTTTCAAAAACATAAACAAGACATGTTTAAGTTTTAATCCTTCCATTGTTCATTCATATTATTTTATCATTTCCAGACATGTTTAAGTTTAATCCTTCCATTGTTCATTCAAGGAATCAGTTCCCAACCTTGTGCCATATCACATCCATGAAATTTGTAATCTAAAACAGACATAAGATTTCCAATCTCCTTAGCTTACCCTGAATTTTGTTCTAGCCCCCCACAGGACAAATGTCTCGTTACATGTATGGTGCCTGTGGTTTCCCCTCATAGCCCCAGGTCGAATTTCTCCGATATGAACAGAAGCACAGGTCACTGCTCCACCTGTAAGAATAACGAAATGATCACCGAAACAAAAAATGGGCCACACTCAGAAATCATAATGCCATAAAACAAGTGACTGGAATTGAAGAACCGATTGACCTTGGAGCACTTTCACACAGTTTTCAGCTCAAAGAACATCTAGTTCTAGGCTCAATACAGATTCAAATCCAACGCGAAATGAACACACGCTTACAAATCAAAATCCAGATAACCAAAACGCCAAGTAGACATTCAACAGCGGAATTCTACGCGGAATATTAAGAAATTCAAACCGAAAACGAAGGCGACTGGAGTACCGGGAATCCCAGAGTGAAGCGCAAGAGATACAGGGTCGAGTAGCCAGCCCCTGTTGTCTTTGGCAATCGGAGAAGGAAACCCAGACTTGAACCGGACGAGATTGGCCTTGAAATCATCGTCTTTGCTCCAGGACTCGCGATTCTGCTGAAAGCGAGGGGAATCGGGAGAGGAGAAGGTGGAAGAGTGCTGGATTCTGAGAGAAATCCATGTCAGGAAGAGGAAGATTGAGAGCAGAAAAGGGAAGGCGTGGGGCTTCTTCAGAAAGTTGGCCAGGTACGAAAATGAGGAGGCGAAGGATAGCGAAAGGATTCGGGATTGGATTTGGCTGTGGAATGGACTCTCCAAGTTTTGGGGATTGGTTGAAGATGAGAGTGAAATTGAGGTCCTCCTAGGGTTCGCCATTGTCGTCTCCTCTGTCAGTGCTTTGCATTCTCACCACCACTGGCCAGGTGGCTGCTCTGTAATTCTCTCCTTTTTCTTTTCCTTTTTTTTTTCCCTTTTTCCAACTTCGATTAAATATCCGTTATACAGATGGACATGAATAATAAATCGACTCATATTATTAAAAAAATTAATAAAATATTAATTTTTATCGATATCTATGGTTAAAATCTCGCCAACCTGATGATAATTTTTAAAAATTAATAGTTATTCAATTCTTTCTACTAACTTTAACAATAATAATAATAATTCCAAAAAGAAAAACAACACTAATAATAAAAAAAAACTCTAAAAATTTACGCATTAAATTAAGTTTGATTAATTAAATTAATAATGAAATAATTCTCATGAAACTTATAGATATTAAAATAACTAGATGTACGAATTTTATCAATTTCATTTCGAATATATAACATTTAAAAAAATAGTAAGAAGGTGAAAAATGTAACATTTCAAAGATTTTCACTCACATAACCAAAAATCAAGTTTGTTATATCAATGAATTAGCGAGGATATCATGCTCATTGTAAATTTGGAAAGTTCGTTACCCTAATCGACTAGCTTCTTTCGTTTTTTCTTTCTTTATGAATTAGACTTCGTTCAAGGAAACTAGAACATCGTTAAGGCTACAAAATTTTGATAATCAGGTTCAAGAAGGCTACAAAATTTTGATAATCAGGTTCAAGAAGCTAACAGGAAAATTGTTCAACCACAAGTAAGGACTACTAATAATCAAAGACTCTCAAGTAAAAGAGTGAGAAACCTTGTTTGATTCTCTACAAACATGCCGAAAGAAACAAACTTTAAACGATCAGACGAATAATTCTACATCTTCAATTAAATAAGCTTATTCTCCCTGCCAATCCAACTCGTTAGAACATAGATTTATGGAAAATTTGTGTTTATCACTAATAAGTGATACATTGACTTCATTTATTGTTTGGGTGGGAAGATTTGAATTCATAAGCTCTTGATTAGAAATATTTACTAATTACCATCGAGCTAAGCTCATTATTGACATATTAAATACTTTTTAATATTCTATGATGTAATAGGTAAAATTATAAAATTATGGACGTGTTAGACATAGGAACGAAACTATAAATTTTCTCAAGGAGTTTAAAATATTGTATTATAACATTTTATAGGTATAATATTTGCTTTCTAACATTTAAGATGAAGGGAAAACTACACAATCTTGAATATTTAATATATATTTTTGAAGTTCCGACAAAGCAAGGAGAGGCAATTGATCCCTTCTCTCTTTTCCGCTCTAGAGAAGTCAATTAAAAAAAACATACAATTCTAGAAGTTTGAAGATTAAATTTGTAATTTAGTTAATATTACTTATTTTTAAATATTAAAAACAAAAATTTCAAAGAAAAACATTAAATCTAAAATATTAATAATAAAAAAGAGAGAAGCAACGCTTAAACCAAAAAAAAAACATCGACATTTTTAGCAGTCTCATGCACTACGAGGTTAAAAAATAAAATATTGTAGCTCGAATTAAGTACTTATTTAAAATAAAAATAATTTTGTAAAAGAATAATTCTAATTTACAACGATTTTCTCTCTTTTATCGAAACAGATTCGAGACAAAGGTTTCAATATTAACTCCAAAATATAAATTTATTAAAAAAAAAAGCATAAATTATGTTCTCTGACTTGGCCGTGGTCCCCACCTTATCTGGAATCTACGATGTTATCTTATCTATATTCTATAACCACGCTTTTGATTCTTTTAATGACGACAAAATACAATATTAATAATAATAAAAAAAACATAGTAAAATAAAATAATAATAAGAAGAAAATTTTCGATATATAGCGTAAATCTAAGGCTAACTATAGCAAAACCAAATCTCTCAATTTAGTCATTAAAATTTTAAAATCATCAATTAAATTATTTAGTAAAAAAATTAAAATTTCATTAAATTATTATTTTATTAACCTATTTGGTTAGACAACACATACCATTAGAACACCTTCACCTGTAAAAAAATTATTTTATTGATATAAAAATTAGATCTTACTCAAATAAGATTTAAATTTTTGGGTCAAAGTCAAGTTCATATGCCTAAATACAAAATATAATTAATAATATAATATTATAGTAATATATTAACTTTTTGTTACAAGCTTTTCAGTATTAAGAAATTTAAAAGTTTTGAGTATCAAATTGATAATTCGTATGTGACTATTTTGTATATTTAATATAACTTTAATACGTATTTTAAATTTGTCACACTTTTTTATTTTTCTAAATATAACCTAGTAGTCCATGAATATAAAATATTTTCCTTTTCGGACTCTATTTATTACCTTCTAATTTCTAACTCTTATGCGTTGATGTTTTTTTTTAAATACACTTTTGGTTAAGGTAGGAGTCTATTTGGTCACTAAAATTTCAAAACTAACACTTTTAGTCCATGAGATTTGATGTAGGTGTCTATGTTCCTCAGGTTCAAAATTGGCATTTTGAATCTTTAAAGTTTGAAAAATAGTTCTAAACGGTCATTTGACCGTTAGTGGCTTTCCATTCCTCTTCTATTCCTCCCTCCTTCTCTTTCTTTTTCTCTCCAATCTCCGACCAACAACAACGGTCGACCATTTTTTCTTTTTAAGCCCAATAAATAATGTGAGGGTTATTGACAATTTTTTTGTTTTTTTAAAACGAGTAAAAAATTATTATATGAAATTATTGGTAGAAGAGAATTTAATTTTCTAATAATATTTTTTGTGCCTCCGCATGCCAACGATGGGTAAAGATAAAAATGGTTGGCGGTTGTTGATTAGAGATGAGAGAGAAAGAGGGAGGAAGAGAAGATGGATGAAAGCCACTGACGGTCAAATGAACATTTAGAATTATTTTTCAAAATTTAAGACAAAAAACGTCTATTATGAAACTTAGGGACTTGGACACCTACACCAAATTTCAACGACCAAATAGATACCTACCTTAGGACCAGTTATTTTTGTAAGATTAATTTTTTTAATATATTAAAAAATACATATTTATTTTATTTTTTGGGATTACTGGTTTATTTCATGATATTTACTTAAAAGAACTCCTCGAAAACTTAGCTCAGTCTTCAGAGAAGGGCGTGGACTTGGAAGTGGTGAAAACGGGAGGAGAAGAAGAAGAAGAAGAAGAAGATGCTGAAGCTTGCTTTTCGGAGTTTGCGGGGAAGAGCGGGCATGCGGAAGAAGAAATCGTCAATGGCGGGCGATGTGGCGAAAGAAAAGGTGGATTGTGTCGTGATCGGGGCGGGTGTGGTCGGACTTGCGGTGGCGAGAGAGCTTTCTCTCCGAGGCAGAGATGTTCTGGTGCTGGAATCGGCTCCCACATTCGGCACCGGCACCAGTTCTCGCAACAGCGAAGTCATCCACGCCGGGATTTACTATCCTCGCAATTCTCTCAAGGTGAACTGTATCCTTGTCTCGTTCTTGCGTTTTCTCTGAAATTACAACTTTCTTCTGGTAGCATTTCGTGGATTTCAATTGTCAATTGCTGATCGGGCCGGGATGTTTCCAATTAAGAATTTAGGTTTTGAATCTAACTGTTTGTTTAATTGTTGTTGATGGACGGATTTCTTTAGTGCGTAGAGAGTGAGATTGCAGAATTTTCAGTTTGAAGTAGAAGTGAAGTGTATGCTTTTCTATAAATTGACTATCCTATATAAATATCACATGAAGTTGCTTTTAAAAACCTGAATGCTTCAATGGAAGGGGAAATGATGGAGGCTAAATTATCCCTTTGGTGCTTGAACTTTATGGCCGTGTCAATTTAGTTTTTACATTTTAAGAAGTTTTTAATAGATTTCTAAACTTTCATGGTTGTGTTCATTTAGCCCCTATACTTTGAAAATTTTTAATACAGAACTTTTAATTTTGTGTCTATTACATCCATGCTATAAATTTTGTTAGTTTAATACTCATGTGACATGTTTATTGTATTATTTAAGGATTGCATTTGAAATCAACCTACTACATGATGCTCAAATAATATATGGTTTGCATGCCATGTAAGTGTTAAAAATTTAACTATTGGAATCTATTAGACAAGAATTGAAAGTTTGGAGGCATATTGGAAACTTTTTAAAGTATAGGGAGTGAATAGATATGACGCTGAAATTATAGACACAAAAAGTTAAGAGACTGAAATTATAATTTAAACAAATGATTACTTTTCTTGTGTTTTGTGTTCTTCTAATGTCAAATGAATAAATAAAAAGAGGTAATGTCTTTTTACTGAAGTGAAATTGTTAGGGAGCAACCTTCCAATCCTTTTTTATCAAACCTCTTCTTAAAATTTATAGTATTACTATTATCTAAAMGAGCGACAATTTCGAATTTTGAACTAAATCAATTTTTGCAGGCAATTCTTTGTGTGAGAGGAAGAGATTTACTCTACCGGTATTGCTCCGAGCACGAGATTCCTCACAAACAAATTGGTAAACTCATAGTTGCTACTGGAAATTCAGAGGTTCCAAAATTGAATGAGTTATTAAGTCGGGGAGTTCAAAATGGGGTTGAAGGTTTGAGGATGGTTGATGGTGATGAGGCAATGAGAATGGAACCTGAACTACAGTGTGTGAAAGCCTTACTGTCGCCTTTGTCTGGAATTATTGATTCCCATTCTTTTATGCTCTCCTTGGTGGTACGTATTAAGTTAGATATATACACATGTATACCTTCATCCACCAGGGACGGAGCAGAATTTTACATGCTAACAATATCTATAATATTTTTCTTTCAATTGTGAAACTTCAGGAGAGATGCAAATTGGATGAAAACTACAAAATATTAAGTATTTTATATATACTTTTTAATAACAACAAACTAAGAGGGGCAAATTCTTCCCTCTTCGCTCTATCTCTGTCATCCACACTATATTTCGTTATCTTCTGTGCTCGTGACAACATTATATATTTGATCAGTTTAATTTACTTGTATATTGACAGAAATATCACTCCCATGTGGGTCCAGGGGGAAGCTGAAAATCATGGGGTTAAATTCTCTTATAACACTGCTGTTATTGGTGGTCATGTTGAAGAAAACCAACTTCACCTCCATATATCTGATACCAAAAATCTTGAAAAGTGGAATGGAGAGGATCTGCTGCAGCCAGAGCTCATGTTAGTTCCTAGACTTGTAGTGAATTCCACAGGGTTATCTGCAGTTCCTCTTGCAAAGAGATTTGATGGTTTACATGGTGGAACCATTCCTCCGTCCTATTATGCACGTGGCTGCTACTTTACGTTATCGAATGTTGGAGTCTCTCCATTCCAGCGTTTGATTTATCCTCTGCCAGAGGATGGTGGAATTGGAGTGCATGTTACGTTGGATTTAGATGGTCAGGTCAAGTTTGGTCCCGATGTTGAATGGATTGACGAAGTCGATGGAATATCAAGCTTCTTGAACAAGTAGACATTCTACCCCAGTGTTCTCATAATCTCATTCTTAGTTCTGATGCAATATTATGACTTTGGGGTTATGACTTTGGGGGTATGGAAGGGTAACTTGCAAGTTTGGTCTCCGAACATTTAGACTTGTGTTTAATTGATCAATGAATCTTGAATTTTATGTCTAATAGATCATTGAATTTTATAGTGTCTAATAGAATCAATCTCTGACCTATTAGATATTTTTTAAAATTCATTTAATATTTTATTAGACACAAATTGAAAGGTCTAAGTTACATATAAAATTCAATTTTGTGTCTAATTTAAAAATTTTGGATAGGTCAGTGACCTATTAGACACAAAATTGAATGAAAAATTGTAATTTTAAGGACCTCAACGCTTTTTTAAGTTCCTTATAATTTAACTTTATACACAATTTACACGTTGGCGTTTCAATTGACGATTTTCCCTATCATTGCCACTTTATTTTGTTGAATCTATGTGGAAAATTAACTTTCCAGTTTGATGCTCTGCTGAAACTCTGTCCATAAGTTGTCTGAAGTTTGAACTCTGAACTAACCTTTTGCTCTCCATTACTTTTCTCTTCCTTTTTATGTTTCTCGTTTCTAAATGCTTCGCTTAGTTCATAATATGTGATACTGATGCTAACCCATCAATTTAATGATATTTTTTCTCCCTCCAGGTATGACTATTCTGTGTGTGGTAGTCGTGCCGAGCGGTTTTACCAGGAAATAAGAAAGTACTACCCAAGTCTAAAGGATGGATCTCTGCAATCAGGATACGCAGGAATCCGTCCAAAACTCACAGGCCCCCAACAAACTCCAGCTGACTTTGTTATACAGGTAATTTCTAAGCTCGACCACCCAATACTAATAGCCTTTGACTTGTGATTGGTTTGGAATAGATAAGAAAATGTTCTCTGCTGCTAGTTGTTAAACTAACTCGCTTGCTGACTTTGGAATTTGTTAGAAGCTTGTTCTGTATTACAGATTTAAAAATTGGATAATGTAGAAGGGTTTGTTTATTTCTTCAAACTGATGGTGTTGTGATGTGACAAGATTCTTTGTGAAATGTGAGCGTTATGCTCTTGAGATGTGTGCATCTGTTCGATGATAAGGTAGAAAGCCCAGTAAGATGATGAACCTAAAGATGAAGAACAGGAAAAAAGTAGGAAAAGAGCCACCGCTCAGTGATTATTGGGGCCGATGAAAAAGAAAAGTAAAGGTTTACAGGAAGTAAGTTCAAATACGTTAGCCACCTATCTAAGATTTAACATCGCTCGAGTTTCTTTGATAACCAAATGTAGTAGGGTCAGAAGTTGTCCTGTGAATTTAGTTGTAGTGTGCCCAAATTGGCTTGGATACTCAGATTTGAAAAAAAGGAATAAACATATTGTTTCAGATTTCAGTTTTATGAACTTTTCTTACCCGATTTACGCTACTTCATGTTACTCTTTTCACACTAAACTATATTAAACAATCAAGAACTCGTCGTTGAAAGTAACAGATTTTACCGTATGTTTGCATCTCTCTGTACCTTAATTGGTTTGATCATGGACAGAAAAAGTGCCAAAATTTTACTTACCACTCATCCTGTTGAGTCGATGAACTATTTCAGTAGTCATTTTGCACATAGTTTTTTGTTTTCAAGTAGATAACTAACACTCGCAATAGCATGTGAATTTGCAATAATATACAATCAATTGGTGTTAATGTCTATTGATGAGAAGGGAATCACTGTAATATTATGCAGGGAGAAGAGATACATAGGGTTTCTGGTCTCATCAACCTTTTTGGAATTGAATCGCCCGGGCTGACTTCAAGCCTGGCAATTGCCGAGCATATAGCTGCACGGTATGTGTAAAGGTATGGCTCGGTTTGATAATGATTTTGTTTCTTTTTATTTTTCTGTTTCTGAAAGTTAAAGGTTAGTTTTCTAACAATTTTTTGTTTCAATTTTTCCGTATTAAGAAACATTTTTTAAGTTTAACCAAATTTTAGAACGACAAAATAGAGTTCTGAAAACTATATTTATTCTCTAGCCCTTGTTGGATAACAACTTTGTTTTAGTTTTTTGTTTTTTAAAAATAAGATTGCTTCCTAACCATTTCTTTATTATGTTTTTTTATATTCTTAAAAACACAATTGAATTCTTAGTCAAATTTAAAAAACAAAAAGCAAGTTTTTAGAGACTCTTCTTTTGATGGTAAAAAATTGACTTAGATTTTAAAAGGCGTTTTTAAAAAGTAGATAACAAAACAAATGAAGAAGTGTTTATTAGCATAATTTTCAAAAGTAGAAAACTAAAAACAAAATAGTTATCCGACGAGATTTTAGTTTTCAAATTTTGGTCAAAATTTAAAAAATGTTTTCAAAATATCAAGTAAAACAAAGAAATTGTTGGTCAGCCGAGTTTAATTTTTAGAAACGAAAGGCTGAAAACAAAAACGCTATCAAACCGACCGTATTTTAGAGTTTCATTAATTCTGAATAGGTTGCACTGGCAACCCAGAGGATGAGGAGTGGTTCTATTTTCAGTGAAGAACAAACAAGTTAAGCTTTTCATTGTAATGAAGTAAGGACCTATGAAAGGTCATAGAAAAAATAATTGCATGAGAAGTCGAATTATATTTTATTTTTAGCAAAAAGTTAATATATTTTTAAAATGTTTGTATTTTTTATTTTTACAAAGATTGCATGTTGATTAATTTTTTTTTAATCTGACAGGTAAGATTTTTTGAAAGGATTTTTTTTTTTCTTTTTGCCATGAACGTATTGTACTGCATTGAAATTAGGAAAATATCAAGTTTAAAGGAAAAATTCTCCCACGCTATGATATAATAGCATGAATATCGTTCTCGTTTATTTGTGTGTGATCATGACAACATTATTCTTAAATGTTGTGGATGTATTAGAGGACGTGGATACTAGAAATTTTATCGGGTAGTGTGCTCAATCATCCTGGGTTAGCTCCGATGGTCATTAGGGTAAAAATGCAAAATATATTAGGGATTTTGGAGAAATGAGTTCAAATTTTATGGATAATAAAAAAAAAATCGCCCTTCTAAAATACCACATGAAAAATTTGGGTGACCATTTGAAGTTTTACTTGTTTTTCGATACTAATGCCTTAATCATACAAGTTTATTAACCATAAAAGTGACGTAAAATCAAACAATTATTTTATAAGATTAGTGGTTGAAATGCGTATAAAGTCGAGCTTAAACACTCTTGAATTACCAAAAAGGAACATAAATGTATAATTATGCCATATCTATTTAATTTGTGTACGTAAATATGCCCATGTTAACATAACCCAACTCATCAAATGCATAATTACATGCTTCTGTAAAGGTTGGAGGCATAACTTTCTCAATTTTGTTGAACTAAACATGAAAAGTTTTGGGAAAAAAAAAGGGAAAGAAACAAAGAAGGAAATAAAGAATAGCCATATATGCATATGGGCATGTTTCACGTTATTTTTATCTTTTATTTTTTTGAGAATTTGATGTCAGAGGTTTTTTCTAAAAAGAAAAAATTGTGTATCTTTTATTTAGNAAAAAAAAACAAGAAAAAAACATAAATAGTATACACAACACAAATACTATGAGTATTTAAACTTCTGGCCCGAAAAAAAAAAGAATAGAAACCATTTAAGCTGAACTCCGTTGATAAAATACTTAAATTCAAGCTATAACAAGTTTTCAAATTTGACACAAGGCATATATTTATATGTAATAAGTATTATAGAATTACATGGCCAAATGTCCACATAACTTTGATAATCACTAGCGGCATGCTTGACGAAGGAAGTTGGATAGCCATAGATAAGCTTGTCCTAGCCTGAGAGCTTCTCTTGCCAAGGAACGAGCTCCCTGATTTGATTCCCTATAGTTGTGATGAAACGAGACCATATATCATACTTTTTTACAGGATTGAATCGAAATTTTTTAATATATTAATAATAAAATGATAAAGATTAACTATGGAAGTTAAGATTTTTTTTCAGCAACAAATATGAGACACGAAGATTTAAATTTTCAACTTTAAATAAATTAGTAGATGTTATTTATCGTTGAACTATGCTCGTGTTGGCCAACTTCCTTAAAATATTACGACCATTTGGTATATTTTACTTTTAATCTATGTACCTGAAACATAAAACCTTATGTCACCCCACCTTAAAAAAAAAAAAATTAAAAAGAATTACTGTATATAGGGGCATGTTTCACGTGGGATCTATTTTTTTGAGCAAGATTTCACGTGGGAGTTCATGAATAATAGATTGAAATAATTAAAAAAAAACTTATCATATTCTCTCATACAAAATTATAATATTCTTTGAGGAAATGTATTCTAAGATTTGAAAAATTTAAATGTTGAGTTGAAAAAAAAACAGAATAATTAAAAATTTAAGAACCGATATATAGTAAAGATGAAAGTGTAATGGAACTATGTTTTAACTGGCTAAAAATATAATCAAAACTTTATATTTTTTTTAACTTCATTTTTATGTATTTTAACAAGATTTAAATTTATTTAAGTTTTAATTTCATCCCATCATTGAGTCCAAATATAGTTCCATAGTTAAAATATCTCTTAAATTCTATTGCCCTGGGTGGAATTAATACATCAAAAAGCTCCAAAATTTATTGCAAAATAAGAGCATCACAAATTTTGCCACCAAATTAAATAACAACAAATTAAAAAAAATAGTCTCATCCAAATTCTATTATTAAATTATCATTCCACATACCACATTCTACAATATTTTGAAAAATTAATGTATTTAATGAAATGATTTCAATGTTAAAATTGTCAAGATATTGTATTTTATACCACACCTAAATTTGAATTAAATTGTATTTTATACTACACTTAAATTTGAATTAAATTAATTTTTTTTATAAAAGAGATTCGAACCCACGACTATTATTAGTTTGGTTAATTGTTGAATTCAAAAAATAATTTAATTTGAATTATGTTATTTTTTTCCTTTTCAAACTCCTATTTATTTATTTATTTATTTTTGTTGTTATTAGCTATGAATAAAAATGTGGCGTCCCTCTCCCTCCACTCATCCATTTGTTCACCTCGACAACTCCACCTTACTGAAGTGGCCACTTCATTTTCTCCAGTGGTTGCAGCTGCTGAAACCAGCTCCCCAATTTTGCCCATTTCTTGATTCGAATTCCCCTCCAAATATCAAAATCAGAGAACCCCATTTGATTTTTCTCCAGGTTTATTAATCTTTCTGTTAATTTTCTGGGAAGAATCGTGTAATGGACTTGTTACAGACTTTGGATCCTCCAATCCTTCTGGGTTTGGCTGCGGCTGTTCTTGCCATTGCCTTTGGTGCCATCTATTTATCATCTTCGCCAAAAAATAGCAAACCCAGAGGTCAACTTTTCGCCATACTCTTGTTTTCTACTTTTGCAAGTTTTTTTTTTTTAGTTCCCATTGCTTGGATTTCCTTGTTGGGTGTTTTGGATTCACGATTTACAGTTAAAATCTCTTGTGCTTGATTTCTGTTCGTGGTTTTTGCGACCTGTTATGTTATGTTTTGATGGAAATTTGGGTGTAGCCTGAAGTTCTTGCATGTTCTTTTGTGGAAATGTGGAGTTTTGAGTAGGGAATCAGAAATGCATACATGCAAGTTTCTTGAATATATGCAATATATATTAATTATATAACTTAATACTATGAAAATTTTGGAAAATGATTTTCATGGGTTAAAATCACTTTTCGTTTTTCTAAAAGTAATCTCAAACTCTAGTGAGTTTCTGGAATCTGAATATTACTATAGTCTCATTTTCTGTCTCCAGACTTATTTTTTTTTCAATGAACTGTCATGAACACACAGGTTGAAATTAAACCAATGTTTGTTTTGGTCTATCAATTAAGGAGCCTTGATGGAACATGGGTTGTGAACAATGAACAATATTTGTATGATTTGTTGATAAGAAGAATTAGTTCAGACTTCAGAGAAAAATTGAAAGGAAATTGACCATATTTCCTTTGGTATTCTTTAATTTTTCTCAATGAGAGCCCGGATTCTATCACTTAAGAAAAAAAGATCCATATTTGACCATCATCTGTTGTATTTTATTTGCTTCATTTCTTTATATGATTATTTACTGCACAATGAATTTTTTTCGCCCTCTATTTTAAATTTTTGCTTTCTGTCAATGGCCTTCTGATACGGTATGTGCATTCAGGTTGCTTACAGCCAGATGATTTTGTAGAGTTTAAACTTGCCAAGCGTGTGGTGCTGAGCCATAATGTGGCGAAGTTTAGATTTGCCCTCCCGAATCCTACTTCGGTTTTGGGTCTTCCCATTGGACAACATATAAGTTGCAGGTCTAGTAAATACTTTCTTAGCCTTCATAAGATTAGTTTGATTTCTACATGCCATGGCTTTGGCTAGATAGCTCACTGACCCGATAAAATGATGTTGATTTCGGCATTATATGGAGGAAGAATTTTGATACTATGCTCTCCCATGTTAAAGAATACCTGCAGTACAGCAAGTTTTCTATAATGATATCTATTAAACTATCAATTGTGCCTCTGCTCATGATAGATTTTCTGATTCAACTCATTGCCATTCACAATTTTTACTGGAATAAGGTCATTTGAATTAATATTATGGTGGGTTATTGTTTGGTCTTTTGCTTGAGAGAAATCATGGCACTTTTTAAGGAAGCTCTAAGAACTTTGTTGAGGTGGAGTATCTTGTGTCTCTCTTAGTCTCTAGATGGTGTTCATCATCGAAACACTGCTCTAATTATTTGCCTCTCCTGGTGCAAGCTATATGGAAATGGTTTTCGTTATCTCCCTTGGGTTTCGAGTGGGGATCACCTTATTGCCCTCTTTGCCCGGTGTTGTTTTTGAAGACAATTCTGTTTCCATGAGAAAATGATTTCACTTTTCCTAACAAATTGTAATTTGCCCTTGCTATTAATCTTCCCTCCCTTCTCATGAATTGATTTCTTGTACAGGGGCAAGGATGGCCAAGGTGAAGAGGTTGTCAAACCGTACACGCCTATTACTTTGGATTCTGATGTCGGATATTTTGAACTGGTCATTAAGGTACATATCTTTAAGGTTTTCAATTGGTGGAGAGTAGTTTAATGGGTGAGGTTGTCAAACCGTACACGCCTATTACTTTGGATTCTGATGTCGGATATTTTGAACTGGTCATTAAGGTACATATCTTTAAGGTTTTCAATTGGTGGAGAGTAGTTTAATGGGTTTGTTTATGCCTGTTAATCTTCACTCTGTATCATCATGTTCAATCAGATGTATCCCCAAGGAAGGATGTCACACCATTTTCGACATATGCGGATCGGTGATTATCTTGCTGTAAAGGGGCCAAAGGTATAAGTCAATAACAGCAGCTATTTAAGAAATCAATTTGATGCTTTTTATTATCCATATGTTTATTTGATTCTATATACTTTCTCCTATTGATCAGTGGAAAAATCACCTATATTTGTTGCTTTTCTGTGTCTTTCATGATGGATGACAAGGAATTGTGAATAAAACATAGCTAAGCTAGGAAGGTCTTGTTTGATAATAGGTTTCTATTATTTAAAATCAGTCTTGTACAAATTGTATACCAATATTTTCTTGGTTTTGTTTTTCATTCTTTTTTCTTCTAAAGCACTTTCGAATAGAAAAAGAGCTTCGAAAACTACTTTTAGTTTTTAAAATTTGGCTTGGTTTCAAAAGAAATGTTGAACTAGAAAACGAAGTAAAATCTTAGTAAATAGGTATAACTTTTCAAAACAAAGAAGGTTGTAAAACCAGCCTTAATTGTTCAAGTTGGGGATGGTATGGAAATTAGTCTCCTATGTATACTGCCTCGGTTTACATCATCTATCTGTCTAGCATTCAGCTTCCTATTTGATAGTTTACTGAAAACACTCTGTTTTTTTGTCACATACAAAAAGAAAGGTCTCTCTGTAAGAGAGAAAGAAAGAACTTCATAGTACCTTTCCAAACATTGATAATATTCAAAATTCAACTAGTGCAGTTCTCTTACTCATTCTTGTTACTGCAGGGGCGTTTCAAGTATCAACCTGGCCAGGTCAGAGCATTCGGGATGCTTGCTGGAGGCTCGGGAATTACTCCTATGTATCAAGTACACAATTCCTTTCCTTTTTTTTTTTCCCTCTTTTGGCTTGCCCATTTTAGTTCCTGAACTTACCATCATTTAGACTGCGTGATTATTGTTATAGATACTCTGTTTTTTTTTTTGGCTGTGCCTCAGGTTGCTCGAGCGATACTAGAAAATCCTAATGACAAGACAAAAGTACACCTCATTTACGCCAATGTCACTTATGAGGACGTTCTTTTAAAGGTAATTCCGTCATATCTTCTTCAATGAAGCTCTCTCTCGTTCTTGGATTGCATGTAAATTCGGATACCATCTACCTCTTTATATCACGACACGTTGATAGTTAGTTTTCCCCTTCAACAAGGAGGATGAACCTAGCCAATTGGCGCAGCCGTGCAACCGATATTTAATTTTCCGCAACCATCTGAGTGATACTGTGATCAACCTACTCCTTCTCAGTGCTGTGAATTACAATGTCTGATTGATTTGGTGGAAGCGTTTTCGGTACTTGTTTTTGTTCGAACTGCTAGGCTGTACGCTCGTATGAAGTTTATTTCCCAGATTCTAGGTGATCATTCTTACAAAGTTGAGAATAACATAATGCAAATTTGTGTCCTTTTTCTATTCTCGAGCGATTTGATCGAAAAGAAACAAAAGACTTCTACTTCTTTGGGAAGAAGAGTCGGACCTTTACATTTTTGTAGTATTAGATATGAGAAAAGAATGGAAAAAGGAAGACTTTTAAAATATAACCCGAGCCGTATCTATTTAGTTTCTAATATTTTTTTCTGAATAGAAGTTTCTGAACATTTATTTAACTCTCTCTCTCTCTCTCTATTTCTTTAACTGTTTCTTACCAAAAGAAACTTGTGTGCTTGTAGGAGGAGTTGGATCTTCTTGCCTCAAGGTACCCTGATAGCTTCAAGGTCTATTATGTCCTAAATCAGGTCAGTCTTTTCCTTCAGCACAATTCCAAATTTTTATTTTTCTCATTTATCTTTTTTCTGTAGCTAAACTTTCTACCACTACAAGATCTCCGCGTCACACGACGGGAAATCGTATCATGCTTATTCAGTCTTGTTTTCATGGACCGGCCAATATTATGTGAAACATCTATGCTGCTGAACTTTGACAAATTAACTAATTAAACTAGTTTGGTAATACTATGTGATTGGATCTCTTGGTCTTCAAAACTATTCAAAAATATTTTTGGACAACTGTTTTCTAAAAGTCGTGTTTTCTCGTTGCGAATACGCCCGGATTTGTAGTTGTGCATTACTGAGTAATGAAAAGGGCTTCTCTTCAGGCCATGATAGAGCTCTTATTGAGCCTTCTTTTATACTTGCTTTGTTATGTACATTTTTTTTTGAATGATTTGTGACATTGCCATATCTTTTGAATTTGTATACCAATTGCCTACTCAGCCTCCTGAAGTGTGGGATGGTGGCGTCGGGTTTGTGAGCAAGGAGATGATTCAAGCCCACTGCCCCGCGCCTGCTTCTGATATTCAGGTATCCGATTATACCAACTCGTATGCAAATAACTTTGAAGAGACTAAACTGTTGTTTCAAAGCTAAAAAAACATCTTTAAACAGTTTGGTCTTAGACTAAAGTTTGGTACTTAAATTTTAGTATCATGTTTAATAGGTGTAAACTTTCAATGTTGTGTTTAGGTCCCGAACTTTAAAAAGTGTCCATTTTCAATTTTTGCATGTAACGAGTCCCTCAACTTTTACCTGTCTAATAGATTCACCGTCAGACACATTTAACATTCAACATTCAGGAGACCTATTAGACTCAAAATTTAAAATTTGGGACCTACTCGACACAACTCTCACAGTACATGAATCGAACTTGTAATCTAACCAATAAAGTACAAGGACTTTCTAAGATTAGTAAAAACATTTTTCTTAACTTTTTTTTTTTAAATAAAAAAGTTTAAAAGTGTGGTTTGAAAATATATTTTCATATTGTATGTCTAGGTATTGAGATGTGGGCCACCACCCATGAACAAGGCCATGGGTGCTCATCTTGAAGCTCTTGGATATGCACCTGAGATGCTGTTCCAGTTCTGATCTTTCCTCAACTTCTTCCTTGCAGCTAAGAACTTCTTTTTCCTTCTTTTTTTGAAAATTCTGACTCATTTTTAGATCTTAGATTTGATGTACTGTGGAAGAGGATGTTTTCTGAGTTCTTTTCATTTTGCAATGCTATGGCATTTTGATGTATCAATTGCTTTAAACAGTTGGAGCTAATGAGAGTCGGACTAGTTATCGGTGAAATCATCTTTTCAAGAGATGACTTTGAAGTGCTATTTTTGAGGGTAGAAATAACCATGACAGAGAAGATATGAGAAAACTCGATTAAGTTTCTTAACTACATTGGTTTAAAACTTGGGCTTCAAACTTTGAATTTGACGTCTAATAGGTCGAGGTTTAAGAGTCTAGTAAATATTTATTAAAGTTCATGGACTTATTAGACACACCACTAAAAGTTTAGAAGTCTATCTAGTGAACACTTTGGAAGTACAATCTTAAAAGTTCAGGGTCCAAATTTGTAATTTGAACTTATGATCTGTATTTCTATTTATCGAAATATGGCTTCGGTTGTTTGGAATGGGCATTCGAGTCGAATAGCTACTATTCGAGTGACATGGTCAAGTACTTCTTAGTTACTTCAATTCAAGACAACTTGATTTAGACCATGTGATATACCTTATCCTTAAGATAGTCACTAAATCACGTTGATTGAGATCAAACAAAAATTATCGCTCTCGATTTCACCAAGCGATACTCGGGCATGTACAACAAGCAAGGATTTTAGAACCTGGTTTAAATTGAGGGCTACTATTTGGAGTATTAAAGTCTTATGAATTTCTTTATAACTAATATGTTGTAGGGACAAGCAACTGTCCTATAAATTAATTGTTAATTGTTGTGCGTACAAGTTTCTTGAGTATAAAAAGAAGAAATAATCTTGAAATTAATTGTTAATTGTTGTGCGTACAAGTTTCTTGAGTATAAAAAGAAGAAATAATCTTGAGTACAAAAAGAAGAAATAATCTTATAATGGCAAATGCGAACACTCTTCTCAAAAATTGCAAACTAGAAACATGAATAATACATAAAAATTTTGAATATTTATTTAAAACTTTTAATTTTCCTAAAAACTTTTTACTTTTTTTTAATCATTCGAATAAGCCAATTCATTTGGGATCCTGCAGATCCACTCTTTTTCCTAAAAAGAGACAATAAAATGATTACCAAATATGCTTCTCTTTCTTTTTTCAATAAAAAATAGAGAACAAGAAACATTTACGCCAAACAAAAGAAAAAAAAAAGAGAAATATAAAATGACAAATGAACCAGAAACATTACTAAATGAACACGGACTACTAAGCATCCATTACCCGTGCTAAAAGTTTGACAACTATTTATAAGGCTGTGCTAAAAGTTTGACAACTATTTATAAGGCTGCATTTCTCTCTCGTTTGTAAGAAAAATTAATGGTGATCAGTAAGAGATAGATGGTCTCTCCAGCTTTTTATTTCTCTCTTTCCTTCTCGGATCCAGATAATTGGCCTAATTTGAAGGCCATAAATAAGGTTACGTAAATGCTGTATACTTGCGGTAAGCAATTTCCCAATTCTTTTAATGGTCATTGTTCATGGATATTGACTTAGAGAGAGAAAGAAAGAGAGAGTGGGATTTAATAGCTGTTTTATGAATTGGACAGGATTCAATTTTGCATTCAAAGCTGTGGGATCAGCTCATCCATGAACAATAAGTGGGTCATTTATGGAATTATGTAATGAGTTTTTTTTTTCTCTCTCTCTCTACTTTATAATTAAATATAATTGCTGAAATTAAATTTTAGTAGAGGAATAATTTATTGGTTGTCTGAACTTACTTGTTATTTGGTTTACTTATGATGATTATATATTATGACAATTATTCAAAATGGTTAAGAGTATTATTTTGGTCCTATATTTTGTCTGCCTCTATTTTAGTAATATTGGTTCTTATGGGTTCAAAAATAATTGTCTAAAGTTCAAATCTCTTAATAAACTTTTCTAAAAAATGAAATAATTTTATTACTCGCGAGAAAAAAAAAATTGTCTAAAGTTCAAATCTCTTAATAAACTTTTCTAAAAAATGAAATAATTTTATTACTCGCGAGAAAAAAAAAATATAAATACAAAGTTACTCAAAAGATAATATTCTTCGACCACAAAATTTTGCCAGCAAAGAAATCTCCAATTTGAGCATAATTGTTAAGATATGTGTATCATCGATAAAAAAAAGTTGGAGGAAACAACTTGATTAATTGAGAGTATTAATCTTATTACATCTTAATCTAAATATTTTAGGTAGCTGAAGTTAAATTTTATATAGGAGTGAAGATTAAAATTATTTGTACGATTGAAAAAACCATTTTGATTTAATTCCTAATATAATGTTTAAATCTTTCAATTTAGTCATTCACAGTTAGTAAAGGTTAAAATTACGGATGAAAAACTTACTCCTAATACACAATAATTAGTGAATCGACAAAAAAAAAAGGAAAGGAAAGGAAAAATAGTGGAGAAAAAATGTCATCTAAAAGAGAAAAGTGAGGAAAATTTCTATTCCTCTAGAAATTCTTAATGTTTGTAAATTCACTAACTATTATGTCATATCGTAACTTTATCACCATTAACCAATTTTAACACATACACATACCAGTCCAAATGTCAATGACTAAAAGTAAATCATATTTACAAATAATTGAGTTGAATTTAAAGAATAAATTTCACTCTTCGATGATAGGAGCTAGGATAATGATCATAAATTAAGGTTTGTTCACATACCAGTCACATATTAGCCGCTAGCTAAAAACCTAGGTGAAAGTTAAATTAGTGTAGTGATCCTCTGGGAGATGGCGTGATGGTTATCAGTTATGCAAGGTACTCCCTACTTTTTCAGACCATCTTGCCCTCTTTGCCCTTCGGTATTATCACGAAAGGAGTCCTGACCTTGCGATATCACTTATCATGAGGTCTTGTGTCCGAACCTTGCACTGATCAACAGTGTTACTCAATCCAGACAACGAACCTCGATTATAAGAATCCATTAACATAAGCCAAAGAGTATTAAATTAAAAAAAAAAAGTTAAATTAGTGCAGTGAAAGTAGTAGTTTTTAAAATCATGCTGGCTGTGGGTGTGGTCCAATATATAATGTATATATACTATTTGCAATAAAGAAGAAGAAGGAAAAAAAAGGTGTATTTAATGGGTTGAGTGAGTGGATCAAATATTTTGATAGCCAATGGGAGGTGGCTTTGGCTGCATCTTTATTTCACACTCATCATGCATTCATATTCCTATTTTTGATAGGTGGGGTTTCATGCTAATGTCTCCAAAAGATGATGTGATGCCCCTCTCTCTCGGTAAAAACATCTATTTTCTTTTTAACGTGGGATCCTTAACATGTCTCCTCAATATCGTGACTCTTTTTGGTTCATGGATCTTGGTCGCATCCCATTTTTGGATCGGTTGCTCGTTTGAGTGTTTTGGACTCTGATACCATATTAATATTCATGCGGTTTCATCTCGAAACCAATTGACAATGAGAGGAGTAGTTCATATCTATTATAAACTTAGGTCCCTTCTCTTTTCAATGTGGGATCCTTAACACCGCTCCCACGAAAAAACTGTTGCCAGAAAACCTCAAAATTTGGTTGCCCAAAAATTCTGATGGCAACAATTCTTTCCATGGCCACACATGTATATAAAAAACTATGTCAAACTTAACCTGGACTTTTGGCCCATTAAATATCATTCTCCATTTTTTCTTTTAATTTATTTTGTATCTAAAAAAAATCCAACCATTTACAAATATGGTACTAAACACATCTTAAATAATTCTTAAAATTGAAATTTAATTTTCAAATATGCTACCAAACATGGTATTTGAAAACACTGAAAACCTGAAATATAATTTTGGTTTTTATTTAATCCACTGTTTTCAATTTCTATTTTCATATCACCAATCAAACGCACCCTAAATTTCTATCAATATTTCCATATATTTATGAGCTCAAGATCGATATAAGTGGTGAATTGATATATCTATAGAGTTCCAAGGGATGGCTCCGTTGGCAAGTACTTAGAGTCTCTTAGTCATATCGGCTTAGATATCTCAAAGTTTGAACCTTTGAATGAACTTAATACCAAAAACCCTTGATGTTTCCCTAGTCTGATTGAGCAAGTGCGGGTGCTCCCAGATAGAGCAAAGTTCCAACCCTGGAATATATATAATATTGCACAAAAATCAAACAAAATATGAAAAAATATATCAACAAAATATCATTAACTGTAGATGTGAGGTTAACCCTAAGAATTTGTAATTAACTTAGTTTAAAAATAGTGAAATGATTATTTATTAATTTGAACCTTTGTTTTTACAAATTTTTGAAATTATCCATCGATACGACATTTTATTGATATTTCTATAAAATTGATATCTCGATGTCGACATTTGAAATATTGCGTAAACCGAGACAGATAGATGCTAGGACAATTAACAACAAAGTTTCTTCTTTCAGTCTTGGCAGAAAGGTAATATATGTGTATGTAGTTTTCTGCCTTTTGATCAAATTTGTGTGCAATAAATAATGGTACTCACAGAGCTGCCACTGGAAAGCAGCAATTGGATCATAATTCAAACTTCCCCAATGCCTTGTAAGAATTTAATTTAGATATCCATCTGGGTAGAAATATCGATATTTCGATTTTATAGGGATAATATTAATAAAAATACTGATAAAATGTTGATGTCGACATATATATATATAGAATAATTAATATTTTTTAAGTTACGCGTTTAGTTTTTTAGCTTTCAAATCATGTTTCTAAACTTTTAATTTTCAGTCCAAACAGTTTTTGAACTATTAAAAGTGTCTAATGATCAAAGATATTCCTGAACTTGCAATTTTGTGACTAATAGATTTAATATATTATACATTTTTTCTTAACGTTCGTAAACTTTTGAATTTACGTTTAAAGATCTCAACCTTTCAATTTTATGTCATGACTGGTTAGACATAAAATTAAAAATTCAAGAGAAAACTATCTATTACAAATTTTAAAAAATTAAATAGGCTAAATTTATAATTTAATATTAGATCAATAAGTTAAATATATCGGATATAAAATTTAATATAAAATTGAAAATCCAGGAGACGTATATAAAACCTTTTAAAAAGTTTGAGAACTAAACTTATAATTTAACCCTTAAAAAGTTAATAGGTCTCTTTTATGATACATAGAAAATCTCAGCTGATTTTTAATATTGATGTCAAAATTTTTTTATTGATTTCTATTATGATTTAATCTCTTACTCAACATAAACTCGATCTGAATTATATATTAAGAATAACTTCGGTTAAATTAATTGGCCTTGTGCTTTAATCTTTGTTTTATTTTATTTTCCACACTTTAAAATTTTTTTTTGGACTAATTTTTTAAGAATTACCATTAGAACTTATTGAGGTCCTAATTACCCATTAGTTAAAACGATCAGAAATTCAACCTTAAAAGTGTTTGTGATTGCACTTCAAAAATCACTTAAATTTGATCAACATTATTGATTTCATCTCTCAAAACCATACAGTAGATGGTCAAAATTAGAATTGACACGTGTAAGTATCAACTCAGTTCAGAGCATTTGTATCAAAATAGCCATCGGAACCCGACGAACTGATCCATACCGAACTGAGATGAAAGAGAATACATTTGCCGACCTAAGGAATGCGACCTCAAGTCCGACCACCAACCTGGGGACCCAGCAGCCGTAATCGCATGTCGTAACCACTTAACGGTTTTATCTCCCCCTCTATGAAAAGGACACTCCGCTCATTGAACAGGTACACAATTTCCTCCCGGAACGACTTAAACAAATCGAGCTTGCAACTAAATTGGGCGTCAGAGTGTTTGTTCCCTGTGCAGGTTCGCTCATGAACACACCTCGACAGCTCGTCCTCGTTAGCATGTGACCAACCTGTGAACTCTACGGAAAACAGCATCACACAAACTATCCACGACTTTCTTCAAGAGATTTATATTAAATACTCTAAAAAAAGTTCGAGAAATAAATTTATAATTTAACCCTACATAAATTATAAAATATTATTATTGGCATCTTCATATTGATTGTAATAGATTTGGTCTACTTTTATGGTATATCAAAAATATTGATGTCAAATTTTGTTGACGTGTGAAAATGTGGACATATTGACGTGTATTTATTCCACGATGTGATAGGCTTGTTTGGCATATTTTGAAAATCCTTTCTTAAAATGTAGAAATTAATTAATGGGATAAGATTATGTTTGTTTTAGGAAATTGGAGTGAATTTGGGCGTTTTGACTTTTATTATTATTTTTTTTTGGTAACATCAATATAACAATTGATTTCTATTATGATTTCATTTCTTATTCAACAAACTTGACCTAAATAATTTAGGTGTGCTTTAAACTTTGTTTTATTTTATTTTCCATTAAAGAATTTTGGTGTCTGGATAAAAAAATTCAACGTTATAAGTTATTTGTGATTGAACGAGAAATATAACACATAAAATTTGATGAACATTATTAATTGCAATATTTATTGAATGAGGCTATTCACGACTGTCTTTTTGCTTTTTATTCGAAATAATATCATGAAAAAAAGGAAAAGATATTGAAAGGAAAAAATATAATTAGAAGATAACATCGGTGGAGCAGTGAAATGCGTCAAATCTAATAAAATTCATGTTTTTCAATTTTATTTACTCCATTAATATTGAGTCATCGCTAAACAAGCACTGATTGGTAAATAAGCGCTGAAACTGCTAAAAGCACAAAAATAGGTAAAGGAATGGAAGTAAATAAATATATTATTTATTTATATAGAATTTACCTTTTCATTTAAGGGGCAATACTATAAAATTTTTCTTGAATTAAATGAAAGCATGTCCAGTACATAATTTAACAAAAACAATACCTTAGATGTTTATATTTAGTTAGTGTTGATCTTTATATTTTAGCGACCAAACGAATAATAGCTACCAATCTAATCCTTTCGCTTCCTCGTATTCTAACGTCAACTCGAATATAGTTCAACTGGCCATTAAAACATCTACTTCCAACTAAATAAAATGTTGTAAGTTCGAATCCCCACTCTACATGCTGTATTGAAAAAAATCCTTGTATTTCACTGCCACGATTAAAAAGAAAAAAGTCAAAAGCTAGACTACGACACGATGTTGAAATAAACCGAGTACCGTATGATCAGAGCACGGTTGGAGACGAAAATGGTGAATGGGGAAGACAAAAAGGAAAGAAATTGCATGAGAGATGATATATGGAGGGCAAAAATGGAGGGTTGTTTGAGGCACCGAAAGGTGAAGGAAAGGATCACAGGTTTCTTTCTTTCTTCTCCTTCATGGATTTACCAAAACAAGAAGATTCGTGGGGAAACCTATTTTTCTTATTTTGGTTTGCAAGACTTTCGTGACAAATTTTCTCTCTTTTACTTTTATGAGACCATGTTATTGTAATAAATACACTACTTCAATATATGTTTCAATACACCAATTTCTTTACTTCAATAACTATTTATGACAGTTATGCTCTGTCTGTCTGCTCGATAAGAATTAAAATGGAAATCAATTGGAATGAAAATATTATTTCTTTGATGTTATTTACTTATGAAGTAGGTCGGTAATATTTTTACTATTTAAACTATGTCGAGGTTGGAAGAATTTAAAAATATAAAGTTACTTGTTAATAATTATTATGAGTGATTCTCCCTTTACATTTGGTATCTAAATATTAATAATTTTTATGATGCCCCAAAATATTTTAAGAACTTAAAAATATATAAGGGGTTTGGGACTATTTTATAGCAATTTTTTTATTTTTTTAAAAAATATTTTTTTGGTTGGTATACTTTTAACTCCGATTCATTTTGGTCATTTCCGATCAAAAAGCCGTGAGTTGAAATCTCCACCACACATTTATACTAAAAAAAAAGAAAAAGAAAAAGTTGGTCTCTTCATTTTTATTTTTACCTCTTTATTTCGTCATAATTTTCACTAATTTTTTTTTGAAATATAAGTATAAATTTGTCGTCGTGTATAAAATTTGTGTTAAAATTTAAAAAATAAATACCAAATTGATAACTTTAAAGTAGAGGATCACAGCGAACGCTTTGAAAGCATAATGACTAAAATGAATAGAAGTTAATTAAACTACATTGACCAAAATAAACCACGACTAAAAGTTCAAGAATCAAAATAGTATTTAAACCTAATTTTTTAGAACGAACATGCAGTGAAAGACGAGTTTAATTAATAATTGCTTTTTGAATTTTATTTTTCTTCCCCTATGGTGAAAAGCGTGTCTTCATGGATGACCTATTTTTTAAGAATAAGTAAAGATATTTTCTCCAAAATTATTGTTTTTTTAAAAAATTATTTTTTAAATGTAAAAGTAATATTAACTTTTATAAATCATAAAAATCACCATCTCTTGAATAGTTTTAGTAACAAACCAAAATAATAATTTTTAAAAATCTGTTTTCATTTTAAAAAATTTGTTGAGATTTTTAAAATATCTCTAAAAACAATAATTTCTTTAATAATAGAAACAAACTAATTAACCCAAGTAGGCCCTAAGGTTGTTGGTATTCATTCAATAGATTGATTATAATTTCAATGGTTGGGGGAAAAAGGAAGGTAAGAAAGCCAAGTGTCAAATGAATATTTGATTTAGAGTACACTTATTTATTATTTTTTGAAGATTATTTGCATTATATATATATATAATTCACATAATATATAACATAATTATAATGCATATTATTTTCTTTAATGATTTGATGTAAGAACAAGAGCCCCAAATTTTAATTAGTGGGTAAACTATAAATATGAAAAATACAATTAAAAAAAAAGCTAATGAAATTAACAAACTTAAAATAAGTAAATCTCATACCTATAAATTAAAAACTCAATCCATGAATAGCAAACATAAAATTACCGTTGAGTTATGTTCGCTTTTGCACAGAAATTCAACTTTTTTTAGTACAACATGTAGGGTGAGGAATCGAACTCACAACCTTTTGACGAGATATATGTCAATTACCACTGAGTTATGCTCACTTTAGCACGTAAATTCAACTTTTCAATTTCAAACTACACAAAATCTCAATACATGAACAAAACTCCCCCGCATGTTCATCAAAGCAATAAATATATATATACAATTATACCAAGGTTGAGGATTTTCATTCAACACTAAGCTTGGACAAATTGAGAAATGCTAAACATTACATTTTTAGTGAGAGGAAAAGGGTTTCTCTCTCCATTTCTCTCTTTTCAATCAAACCTAAAATTGAGAAGTTTCATTTAATTTGGAGAAGGAAAAAAAAGAGAGAAAAAAAATGTTAGAACATTGGTGACAATGCCATCATCTCCTCTACTTGAACAGCTGTGTCATCAAGTAGCCACTTCTCAAGAAATGACAATGGAGGATTATTGTTATTATTATTATTATTGTTGTTATTTCTCTCCTCATTCTCACAATTAATTTCACATCTCATTTTCTTCTTACCAACATCAAAACAAGACTCACAACTTGTAGAATTCTCCCAAGAAGCTGCCACATTATAATTGTTGTTGTTGTTCAAATTCTCGTATGACGCTATCGACTCGATCTCCTTCCCGGACGCCATCCCATCGCTGGCGTCTTGCTCGGTTTTCGGTTCGAAACATTGGGTAGAAACGACCGTGGAATTGGAATCTCCATGATGGCCGCTTTGCTTGTCGTGGAAATTGATCTCGTTGTCGTTGTCGTTGTCGCTAGTCTTAGGATCAGAAGATCTCATCCAGCCTTCGAGCAGGCGCGAGATGTTCTCGGCACTCGAATAATACAACGACGATGACGAAGCGGCAGAGGACCGGTTCGGGCCGAAAGACGAGGAGGAGGAATCCAAATCCAAGCTCCTGTTTGAGAAAAACTCAGAGATTGGTGAGTGATGATCTGAAGCTTTGGAAGAGTGGGGAGGATCTTCAAAGGCTGACTTGAGCTTTTTCTTCAAGTGAGTGTTCCAATAGTTTTTGATATCATTATCAGTTCTTTGTGGAAGATAAGAAGCTATGGCAGCCCATCTGCAAAGATCAAGAAGGAATAGAAATTAAAACAAAAAAAAAAAAACCACAAAATCAAACTTAAGAATTCTTAAAAAAAAAAAGAATTACGACATAAATGTGACTGATAATTTTATACTGTTAGATATCCGGAGAGAAATTAAAAATTGTATTTTGACAAATACGTTCGAAGGGATGCCTAAAATAACAAACAAAAAAATTGTTTTTGAAGGCAAAAAACGGAGAAATTATTTCAGCGGTTGGAACAATTACAGTGAGTCGAATGAAAGAGAAAATTTAAAACTATGTTTTGACCATTAATCCCACCAAAAAAACTCAGTTTTCTTAAGAATCCTACCACAAAACAGAAAAAAAATTTTAAAAAAATTGCTTTTGAGACAAAAATCGTAGAAATTATTTGAGAGGCTAAAACAATCAACAACGACGATATTTTATACACGGTTGGATGTACGAGAGAGAAATGAAAAATTATATTTTCACTATGCAGCCAATAGTTTTAAGAAGTTTCGACGAAAGATCGCGATTACTTACTTGTTACCAAGCAAAGCCTGTAAGTGGATGATCATGCCTTCCTCATGGGGAGTGAAGTTGCCTCTCTTGATTCCGGGTCTCAGATAGTTGGTCCACCTGAGCCTACAACTCTTGCTGCATCTCAGGAGACCTAGACACAAGTACAAGATTAAATATACCGTAACCCATAAGTTAATAATTTAACGAAACGGAACGAAACCTCAGATCTCGAGAACTGGAGGAGGAGAGAGAAAGGAGAGAGAGAGAGAGAGAGAGAGAGAATTACCAGTGTTGGTGGGAACTGATCTCCAATTGCCAGGACCATGTTGTTGAATGTAAGAGACAAGAAGGATGTCTTCTTCTGGAGTCCAAGGTCCCTTCTTTATCCCCACTTTCTCACAGCATGGAGGCCTTCCCATGCTTTCTCTCTCTTCTCTCTCTTTAAACTCAAACTGAAACTGAAACTGATAGTTTTTTTTTTTTTTTTGTTATATAGAGAGAAGAGAGAAGAGAGGCTTTCAAACAGTGTAGTCAGCATGTGATTGCTAAAATACTTGACCTAAAGTTTTTCCTTTTCCTTTTTGTTAAATTACGAATTTGGCCCGACCTCATTTTTAATTTGGTTTTTACGGTTCTAAAAAGTTTCATCTAGTTTTAGTTCCAATTTAGTCCCTATGACTTTAGTCAAATATACTCACATAGAGTCTTTGTTGCGATCATACTTGTCGATAGCTGACAATTGGTTGATATTTTTTATTGGATAATATTTGGCTCCTTAACCTCACCATCTGTCACTGAAAATTTGACAACTCATTCTATTTTTTTTTAATGTTTGTTTGTGTATTTCTCTATTTTAGGTGCCAAGTATTTTCCTTTCCTATTTAACTAATGGATTGTATTAGAGTTTAGAATTGAGTTAAAAATAAGACAAAATGAGGGAGTTTTTACATGTGGGTATAAGATCGAGGATTTGTAAAATATTTAACCAAACCATAAAGACAAAACTTAAAATTTAAAAACGGGACTAGAATGAAAATTTAAAATCAGCGAAGCTAATTTAAAACTAAGTTCAAACTATATAGATTCAATTTGCAATGTAACACATTTTAAAAACTAGTTTCAAAGATATAATAGGTTTTGGTTCTATTTTGATCTAAATTATTCTATACTTTGATTCTTAAACTATCAACGCTAAAAAAATTAAAAAAAAGCAAAATGTTCCTCTAGTAGCTGTCTACTTTATTTTGTTATTTACTTACAATATTGTGCCAAATTAACTAATATTTGTCTACCAACATCTATTTTGTTATTTAATTAGTAATATAAACGACAAGAATTATTCAAAATCCCAAGTTAAAAGTCAAGAATTTAATTGAGACGTTTTAAAATTTAAGGATTAAATAAAGACACGTGGGATAAGATTCAAATCCACAATCATAATATTAAATTTTCGTCCACATTTCCATAGACATTTTCATATATCCATGAATTCGATAGGACACATTTCCATAATATCAAAAAAAAATAGACAAAATATAAAAATATCAACAAAATATCACTAATATCAACATAATATAACTATTACTAATTTTTTAACTTATTTAAAAAGATTGAAATCTTTATTTGTTAATTTGAATTTTTGTTATAAGTTTTTTACTTTTACAAATTTTCTAAAAATATTCATTCATATCAATATTTTCATCAACATTTCCATAAAAGCTTGTCTGCAACTATGCTGAGTACAAAGAGTACCATACTCCCCTTCTATTCAAAATGACGTAGGATCAAATCCTTTCATTTTTTTGGATAAACAAAAGAAGTATGGTACTCCCATAATACTGAAATTTTTTTCCGAGCAAGTAATAAAACTATCACTTGCTGGGTAATACATATTTCTAAAATTTTTTAATTAGAAAAAGGAAAAACAGAAGTAACAGTCAATGACAGAAGGTGGAAACAAAAAGTGAGAAGGCAAAAAGAAGTGTACGGCAGAGGTGAGCTTATTATAAAGAACAAAAAGTGAAAAAGGCTGAAGCTTTCTTCTTCTGTGGCTCTGATTCTCTCTGTGTTCAAGGATAAAATGGCAGTCCTCTCTCTCTCTCTCCTATTTATTTCTCTTTCTATAGGGGAGGGGACCTCACATTTAATGGCCTAATTACATGTCAAAATGCAAGATGAGATGAGATGGAGACTCTTCAATTTAATTAGGACAATGAACAGATTAAATATATCAAGACAACAAAGTATTTGAAGGGAAATACAGAACCTTTTACTATGATGATTCATACAAGGATTGAAGAAGAGCTCACACTAAACGGGTGCTGGTCGCGATCGTCAATCAAGAAAATTCTACCTGTATCAATGTACGCTTGTTGAAACACATGCGTAAAGGATGAGTGCAATGCTAAGAAGAACAAACACTTTAATTTAGTAACATGTCTATGCCCAATAGGACACTCTGACGTTCGTTTGACACGTATTGAACACTTAACATGCATAAACTTTTTTACTTTGATTTTTTTTTTTTTTTGTATAGAAATGATATATATTTTAAAAATGTATATGATAATAAACTTGTTCTTGCCATGTCCATATCTGTATTCTAAAATTTTAGAAAATAACGTATCATCCTATCCGTGCCTCATACAAAGAGAGAACCTTTTTGTTTTGATCTAGGCATCAAGAACTCCAGCTCAACTTCAATAATCTCTAAAAAGAAAAATGTAAATCAGAGAAGAGCATACACAACACAATAACTTCACACCTATTTACCTGTAGAGTACAAAGCTAACAAATGACTAAAACTTCTCTATTATGGTCTATGATTTGTCTGCTAGTAGGAAAACTCATGCTCTGGCCTTCTGTTCTTTGGGTGGGCCGTTATATAACCATTGGATGCAGATTCAAAATCTATATGCTCCATAATCACCATTGGATTGATTCGAAATACGTTTTGTAATAGATTGAAGAGAATGCAAGAAGCAGACCTGGATAAAGCAAGTATTATCCTCTAGAGCAGCCTTTGACACCATCTAGATGGGAACCTGAATCTAAAATATTGGTTTCTTGAGAAAATTTAATGTTTACAATGAGAGCAAATAAACATCAATGATGTATGGAAACTTGCACAAAGAAAGTAAACAATAGACCCATATGCTCAGTGTATATATTTATACACACACACACATATATATACATTCAAATGAGAAAGTAGACTGAGTACTATCTTCAACAGCAGCATTTTCATTGGCTATGAATTAGGATGTAAATACAACTAATAATGTTAAAGGCCATAGAATTTAAAATATATTTGCTATTGGCTATGAGATTTGATATAATTCCCTTATCGATAGCTTCATGGTATTGTCAATTTGAATAAAATGTAGAACTGCATATGATGTCGACACAACGGGTTGATCATACTATTACTCTGCAGAACTCCAACTTGTGAATTTGAGGCAGAACTGTCTTTAGAAGTTCCAAGATGCTCCGCTACCCGTCCTAACCGTTTTAGTTTAAGCTCGCCCTGAGAAAATTTGATAATCAAGCATATTATCATGATCAGTACCAGCTCATACTCAGATTAATTGAAGCAAACATGCAGCATACCTCACACATGGAGACTTAATTAGTTATTCTAGCTTATAAAGGAAAGCTAACAATATAGGCAAGAAAAGAGAATGGATTATCTAAGTAGGGCACATGGAAAATTGAGGCATAAATAATACTGTGTCACGGATGTTAAGTTACAAAGCAGAAAATTCAACTATAAAATAAAATATCCACAAAGAAAAAACCAGTGAATGTAGCAGTTAGCACAGTTGATTATTTTTAAGTGATACAATCTTCTAAGAATTAATAGGCATTAGGTACTAAATAATACTGCGTTGTACAAAGTTGGTTGAGTTAATTAGACATAAACAAAAGTTATCAACAGAAATTTACAGTAGAAAATAAAACAATCATAAAAATAACACTCAGTTGATATGACAACAGTTAATCATGTATTCATGCCTATGACAAAGATATGATCGATTGATAACCCACAAAAATTAAGTCAAGGTAAAATTTCACAGTGAACTCAAGCAAAATAAAAAAGTTAGCTAATTTTGCCTTTCAATTTCATTTCTGGAAGCAAAAGGCACCGTATGTATATACATCCGTAGAACTTAACAAATCATGTATACCGTATACGAAATATAGACCAAGCATCAACCTGATTTAAGAACATAATAATGACAATATGGAAGAAAACCTCATCCCACCCCCACCCTCTCTACCAAAATGTTACTTATGGATCAACGTACTAAAATAACATCAAGTTCTATACATCAGAATATTTACCCACGAACTACAAGCACCACTCCATGGTACCACTAGGGAACTTTCAACATAAGTATGAGGCATCATAATGGGCTTATCGAGAAATACTGAGCGGAATTCTAATCTCGTCAGAAAAGAACAACAATTGATGAAGAAGAAAATTACTAATAGAGAACAGTTCACACCTTTGAATTTGTGGACACGTGTGGGGAGAGGCATTTAGGATTCTTGGCAAGGAATCCATCAAGGAGATGACAAAGATATTTAAACCCACCAAGCATAAAATTTTATGCATGATCAACAAGCAAGGCCCTTGCATTTTAAATCCTTTGACTTCCTCTTGAAGCGAGATTCACGATTACTGATATTATCTATAGGGTGATACTTCATAGAAGCTAACTCTTTATTAGCTAAGTGGAGTCTCTGCCTTTCTTCATTCTGTGCAAGCAGTATTACAAATTAAAGTTACATTGTTATCAAATAGCAAAATAATGTCTTCACGTTTAAAACTTACAAGTGTTTTTTGAAAAATGGCAATTTGTTGCTTACAAAGCTTGAGCTCCATCTCAAGTGTCCGAGACCGAGAATCAACAGAAACATTGCATTGTTCAACAATTTGCTTTTCCCTTCCCCTAATGATCGCAGGCTGCCAGACATTCAAAGATACTGTTGCTTCCCTGAAACCACAAATCACAATGATCATATTTAAAATTTTCAACTTCAAGCCAACTCGATATTTCAACATTACAAATGAAGGGAATCCATTGAGATTTGTGATTGACAGAGAATTGAAGAGCCATGCCATCTACTAAGATGCTCCTTGTGAACTTAGCTACAATGATACTAACCAATGAGTTTTTTTTTTTTTTTTTTGATAACTGGGACTCGGAGCTATATTCCCCTATACCCAGGGGCACCCGTGCCCACCCCAAGGTCCGGACTCGGGAGACATCAAAAGTTTTTAATCTTAAGCTCATCAGAAGGTTCGAACTTGAGACCTTAAGCCAGTATGACTAAGAGATCCCTAGCATTTGTCAAATGGGCTGCCCCTTGGGGGCAACTAATGAGTAATTACAATCTCCTCCTTTTACCACTGCCCAGCACACTCAACGAAAACACAATTCCGATCAACAGTTCTATTAATTGAAATCAAACTAAGTGGCACAAGCAAACAAGTTCCATAAACTTTCCAAGGAAAATTGAAGATTACCGAAGATTTGGAATAATTTCTGAACACTACCTGACCCTGCGTAAATTAGACAATTCCGATAAGGTGGCTGTTAATTTCTTGGTCTCCTCCGTTAACTGATCCTCTAATTCCCGAATCCTTCTCAAATGCTGAGTTATCTGGCTATCCTTTCTAAGTATTGCTCTCCTGTGCGCCGCTTGCTTCCTATTTCTATCTCTCACCACTCTAACAACACCAAGAAAAAAGAAAAAGATCATCATCCCGAAGATAAAAGAAACACGAACTCATCATTCTCCGTATTCCAGATTAACCAAACGCCACGAGATTGAGAGATACTGATGCTCATGAATTCTTCTATCTACCTGATTTCGTAAAGGGACTTTGAGGAGGAGGTGGAGGACGGCAAAGTAGAAGATGAAGAAGGGTAATCGGAGGAGAGAAGGTGCGACCAGAAACAGTCGTCGCCGGAGAGCCGGCGAAGTCGACGAGAAGAAATGGAGAGACAACAGAGGTCTCTGTAAGTCCAACCACGGCTCTTTACACCGATTTCGAGAATTTGCCTCCATAGCTCGTCCGGTAGTTCAGACATTTTTGGATCTGCGAAGATGAAACTTGAAAGGAACAACCGCAGAGAGCCCTAGAATCCAATTGCAGAGTTCATCAGAACAATTTGATTCTTCTAACCCCAGATGGCAAAATTGTAAATTTATTACAAAAAAAAATTTTGAAAAAAAAATTAATAATTATGATATATCTAATCTAAACTCGATCAATGTTGGTGAACGTGCTAATATAAGCTTAGCTCGACAGTAATTAATACCGATCTCTGACAAACAGGTCATGATTCGAATCTCAAAAAGAGTATAGTGCATATAGATGCCACGTATGAGAATGAAAAATATGTGAATCGAAAGAAATAATGAAATTAATAAGATAGGAATTACACAAAAAAAGTAATGCATGTAAATGTTATATTAAAAATAATAATAAATAAAGTATATCACTGATAATATATTTTATATACGTGATAAAGTAGATGGTTGAATATATTGGTTCTTTATTTTAAAAAAAAATATTTTATCATAGGACTGTTACTCAAAGCAAATATATAATTATTGTAAAATTACAAGTCTAATAAGTCTATAAATTTGTCAATCTAAACATGAACATAATTTAATTGATTAAGACATCAATCTCTGAGATCGCAAGTTCGAATCCCTATCTCTATATTACTAAAACAAAAGAAAAAAAAATCTCAAAATTTTAAAAATGTCTAATAGTCATTAACTTTTAATTGTTATATCTAATAGGTCGATAAACTTTAAAAATATCTAATACGACTCTAAATTTGTGCTAGTAGATCAGTGACTCAACATTTTTTAAAATTTACATAACTTAGTTAGACACAAAATTAAGGACAACTCTCTTTTATTTTTATGTCTAATAAATTCATAAATTTTAAAATGTTTAATGAATTAGGCATCTATTATACATAACCTTAGACACAAGATTGAAAATTGAAAACAAGAGATTAAATGAAGAATACGTGGATGCGAAAATTTAAACTCGCGAACTTTTTAGTCGAAGATATATGCTTTAACAAGTTGAGTTATGCTTAAGCTAGCACTTATTTGAACCATTTTCAAAGTTATATAAATTTTAAGATTTTACAAAGGATAAAGAGAATATGCAAACTCAAAATTTATCATCATTAATTAAAGTTGGAAATTGATTTGAAATGTAAAACGTTATCTTATCCATTATCGCATGCTTGAATATAGTTCAAGTGGCTAGATATTTGTACCTAACTTAATTAACAAAGGCAAACATAAAACCCGACCTTAAAAGAAATCCAAATTAACACTATAATCTAAATCTAAAATAATAAAACCTAACTGATAATTACAAAATGATTTAATAATCGAAGCTCGTAAAAATATATTAAATCTAACGATATCACCCTTCTTTCCAAGATCTCTACACTCATAGAATAATGCAGGGTGAGTGGTCGAGTCGGAATTTGAATAAAAACTAGATTTTTGGGTCAAGAATATTCCCGTATTGTAAGAATATTCCCATATTGTCATGTTCAATGCAATTTTTCTCATCCTTTGCTAGCTTGGTAGAAACTTCATATTCAACTTTTCAAAACCTTGTCAAGAAATTTATAGCACATTACCTGGTAACATCTGTCCATTAAGTTTAAATACTGTTTTGGTCCCTATATTTTTCATTTTTTTTGGTCTCTATATTTTTAATTTTTGTTCATTTTGTATCGTATATTTTTAAATTTTGTCCATTTCAGATGTTAATCCACGTAGTTAAAGAAAAACTTTTTTTTTCCTTCATCTTTTGTTTTCGTCTCATTTCTTTCTACAATAATATTAGAATAACACTTTACTTCCCTTCATTTTCATTTCGTTTCTTTCTACTATACTATAATATTAGAATAACACTTCACTTATTAAATTTCTTAAACATAACCATAAATTTATATTAAAGAATTTCCATTATGTATAAAATTTTGTAAACGGTGACTAAAATAGTCACCTTTTAAAACTACATGAACTAAAATTGACATTTTAAATGTACAAGACTTAAACGAATGAAAATTTTGAAAGCACATAGACCAAAATGAACGTTTAGAAACCAAAACAGTATTTAAACCAATATTTTAACATTGTTAGAGATCATTTGTGGACACCATGAATGGTGATGCAATGGAGATTAACTTTTCCTCCATGATCTACTAATGTTGCAAAAGAGAATTACTTATTTCCTTGAATAAGTGGTCACTCTCTTAGATTTTGAACTTGGAAAGGCATTTCATCCCTAAAGAAGACAAAAATGAGTTCAGTTTTACCTGTACTTAGTAATTAAAAGTTTAATGTTAAAATTGACCCTCGCCTAAGTACGAGGTAAAAATTGAACTTTCACCGAAAAGAAACCATCGTAAACACGTTAGTATTCCTCGATGATCGAGAAGTTGTAAGATTGACTTTCCTCAACATACCTATTACCTCCCCAACCAAAAGTAGCTCCAAAGAAGTCATCTTGGCATAACCTGACAGCTGAAAGTACAGTAATAGAGTATTGAATTTCTCAATTCCTTCTTCAATCATAGTCTCAAAAATGTACTTTTAGTTAATGAAGTACATCAAAGAAGTCATGTATCTCAACAACTGAAAATATACTTTGAAAAACCATTTGCATTCTTCTGAATGCCTTCATCAGATAATAGTGTTCTCTTCGACATAGACCTAGATCTTCTATGAAAGAATTAAAAAAAAAACATGTTTACCATCCACGTTTAGATGTCACAATAGTGTTTACCACCTGTCATATGTGAAGTTCTATAGAAGTTCTATCCTATAATCACATATATTTAATCATATTAAAAATATTTAAAAGTAATGGGGAGTGTATTAGATAAAAGAATACAATCAAGCGATAATCTTAATAGTTGTCTATTAGTTTTTTAACTCAAGATTTTGCAACTATATCTTGGACTACGAGTTGTGATTCTACATAGTCTCTAGTCCAAACGTTGATGATAACATGACATGTCTATCGAACAAACATTAATTTATTTAGCATGATATGTCAGATAAACGAGAGAGAAAGGGATAACTAGAAAAAACTAGGGTGACACARCCTATAAAATTTCAAAAGTCAGTTTGTTGCACATAACACCGTATTAGATAAACCAAGTGGTAAATTATTTTTTTTCGATAACAAATAATATATTCAGAGAACCCAAAAGAGAGACAACCTGAGGGTAGAGGGTTGAGATCACCCTCCCCGGTAGCTAAATAATTGCAGCCTACCAATTCCTAACTATCAATTGAAGGCTATAATTCAAAAGAATTTCTTGTTGTACATTGCTACAAAAAAACATCATCTAAAGACTTTTTATCTTCAAAAAGCCTACTATTCCTTTCTACCCAAATGAGCCATAAGACGGCCCTTGCAGCACAATTCCACAGAACAAAAGCCTTGCCTTTAAAAAACGTCCCCCAAACTTTTCAAGAATCAAGTCATCAATCTTTCGTGGGAGACAAAGAATACACAAAAGCCCAGACCTTAGCCACAAGAGGGCAGTGGAGAAACAAATGGTCAATGGTCCCTTCGTTGTTATAACAAAGACAGCAGACCGAAGGGGAGAGACACCAGAAAGGTTACCGCCGCTGAAGTCTGTCTGCAGTGTTTATGCTCCTATAAAACAAAGACCAAAGGAAAAACTTCACCTACTTCAAATGTAGGACACTGCAGGGGCTTTCAGCTTGGTAGAGGGATTGGACAGGTGCCAAAGAGCCGATTTTGCCGAGAGAACTCCACTGCTACCCGCCTTCCACCACAGCTTGTCTTTCCCCACTCTTGGCCACCAAACCTCTAACCTCTCTGTAAAGTTAGTCCACCTAGGAATCTCCCTATCGAACAAATTCCTTCTCAACCCCGAATCCTAAGTAAGGGAGGATTGCACCCAACAGTCAGCCACCACACCCTCTTTTTTGGTTGAAATCCTATAAAACTCAAGAAAGGTAATGGAAAGAGGAGCGATATTGATCTATTCATCCTCATAGAATCTTTTTTTTCCCTTTTTTTTTTATGACCAAGAGTCGGAGCTTTGCTCCCCTATACCTAGGGACACCTGTGCCCACCCCAAGGCCCGTACCAAGGAGACATCAAGGTTTTTGGTAATAAGTTCACTAGAAGATTCGAACTTGAGACCTCTAAGCCAGTATGACCAAGAGACCTCAAGCCCTTGCCAACTAGACTGCCCTTGGAGCTATCCTCCCAAAATCTCACTCAATTCCCCTTTGAAACTTTGAAGAAGATAAGCTTCAGAAAAACTCCTCTGATTTTATAAATGTCCATACACGGACGGCCTCTAGCTGACCCCTTTGATGGTTTAGTCATCCACTAGTGATCTTCAACACCATATATGGCTCCTATAACCCTTCTCCTCAGACTCATTACTTCATGGGCAAATCTATCGAGTGGCAAATTATAGGGACAGAAAATATGATTTTACCCTAAAGTAATGAACTTTAGGCACGTCACATCATCCTGTAATCTAATCTCCTTTGTGTTGGGCCTTCAGTGGTGCAGCCTAAGCTTATGTCAGAGAATCTTGATCATATTCTCTAAGAGTACTTATTTGCTCGAGTTGTGTTGCTTCGGCTTTATGGATCTTGTAGGTGCACAATAAGGATTGTTGTTCTATGATAGAGGAGGCGCTTCACTTTCCTACTTTTTGTGATAAGGAGAGAATTTTTTGGCAGGCCTCTTTTTTCTTTTCTTTTTTTTTTTTTTTTTGCTATCTTGTGGGGTTCATAGCTTGAAAGGAATGTTATAATTCTTAGATGGGTGGGGAAATCATGGGAAGAAGTGTAGGAGGTTGTTAGATTTAATGTCTCTTTATGGGCTTCAGTTAAACTATTTTGTAGTTATCAGTTTGGTTTTATTATTTTGGGTTGAAGTCCTTTTGTTAGTTCAAACTCCTTTTGATGGGCTGGTTTTTTATATCCCCTTGTAGTTTCTTTCACGTTTCTCAATGAAAGTTTGACTTCTCATCAAACAAAAAAATTCAAAAAAAAAAACTTCAATAACCTAGAAGAGCTGGAAATTTAAGGTCTACAAGATGGCAGCTAAGGTAGTAAATAATGGAGAGAAAATAAAAAAAGAAACAAACCTGATGATGCAGAGAATCTGTGAAAAATAGGAGGATCCTGTAGCAACGCGAAGTTCCCTAAATGTAATTATCCACTTTCTGTCAGCTGTAGTATTTTTTTATTTTCTTATGAATCAAAACATATATATACCAACATTTTTAGTGGGGAAAATAACAGCAATGGGAAGAGTACTTATGATGTCTATACAGTGAGGGAATGACTGAACATAACAAAAGTTACAATAGCACATTTAGTTAGAAGCAAAATTCTGCTTGCAAGTTTGTGTACTTCAAAAGAATTTTCTTTTAAAGAAACAGAAATCTCATTAAGAAGAAGGAATGTAAAAGGGTCTAGAACACCATGTAGCAATAAAAAGGACTCACCAACCAAAAAGAACATAAGAATTATAAAAAGAGGCCATACCAAGCGGAAAATAAGTCAACATCGGATATGCTCCTCCATTTGCAGTAGCAAAAGAGGAATGTCATAGACGTGGAAGAGTCGAAATCGTTTTAAATGAACAGGATAATAATATCCATGCCTGCTCATATTCTACTACAAAGAAAACTGCAGTAAAACTTTTCATTTACTATCAACAAAATTTTCCTGTTGCAGCTTTTACAAACAATGTGAAGTGATATTGCATAGACAAATAATGCTATATTTGGGAATAGTTATATGGTATCCTAAACAACGAACAAAATGGAACTCAAGTCCTAGAAAGAAAACAATCTAGCTGTAAATTGGCTATTTGGGACTATATTAAACAAAATTTCAGCTAAAACACATTTATAACAGTTTACTGTGGTTTCAAATGCACAATAATCTTTAACTTTTAAAAACCACTCAAAGCCCATTCTTAATTGTTTTTTAGGATTTAAGTTCCATTTCATCAGAAAACAATCCTACTTTGTGATTTCCTTGTTGCAGGTACAACTTAAAGCGGCTTGAGCTTGAGGAAAAAGAAAGCCATTGTAGGCAACAACCAAATATATAAGGCAGCTCCTTACAGTTACTTCCCACTGCTAAGAACAGAAAAATGACAGAAAAGGAGGACAATACTCTATATCAAGTCATTGACAATAAAAGAAAAACTCTGCTGAAGTTGCTAGTAATCAGTAGAATCCCAAGATGGTAGTCAGTCATGTAATTCTGCTGCTCATGACTAGGAAAAGTATGCATCCAAAAGCAATTTCAACAGACTCACCCCATTATTTTTTATTTCTTCCTTATTCAGTCAACTAAGACATAAACACGGTACAGGTATTGGATTTGAGATTTAAGCTCCAAAAGTCTCAATTTTGTATGGACAGAAGACGAAACACAAATACAAAAAAGAGTACAAGTACCAAAGAAAGAGTAGGTAAAATATCATTGAGAACTTAAAAGATCACTAGGATGACATATGATAGTTTCTCTACACAGTTTAGATATGGTGATGTAAGCATTGCTCAGCTTAAAATCTACCATCTAAACACTTACAGATGGAGAAAAGGAACTCTATATGAATTATATGCATTTGCACTGTCGTTAAATCCATTGCCTATGAAGATATCACCTCTCTAAAATGGATTTAAACTCTTGGCAAAAAAATGAAGGATCAGAACATCATTAAATTGGTGGCAGTCCCTACAACGAAAGGTTCCATAACTAACCGAGTCAAAAAGTAAAACATGACACCCAAAGCAATAGATATGGGAAGTGCAGGCAGAGCTCGATGACAAACCGATAATAAAATGAGTGTGCATCCAAGTCCCGAGATGATTGCAAGGTAACAAGCATAGACTGTCATAAGATCATACATTGCAGCTCTACCCACGAGGACACTGTAGAACACAAAGTCCCCAAGACCAAGCCTAATACCTCTACTCGTAATCTCGGTAGCGGCAGCCCTTGCCCTTTCTAACTGGTTTTGTAAACGAGGCATTTCAACAAGAGGAGAAACTTCATCATCTATATAGATTTCAGTTTCTCTGCTGCCAAAGCGCCGTCCCGTTTCTGGATGAAGAACTCCGGTTGAATATCCAGATGATTCACTACTTGACGAGTCTCTTTCTCGCATGTAACCTACCAAAGGCGACCTCTCCCCTTCATCTCCATTTCTTTGGACTCCTTCGTTCTGAAGATTCTGAATGTCAGCAGCAGGGTGATCAGAAATAGGAAGGTTTTCAGTTTCATTACGGTTCACATTGTTATGTGGAGTTTCCTGAAGCTCTATTGATCCAGAATCAGAGACCCCAGCAACCAAAAGTCCCAAGGCCCCCCGATTCTCCTGACCCCTCGACACCGTAGGCCGAGCCTCATAAACGAGAGCTGGAAGTTCTTCGTCCCGGCTCGAGGCCAACTCCACCAACAGCTTAAGAGGTCCACCAGGTGCTAAAACAGCCACCAAATCATAAAGAGCCAATGCTACAAGCAAACTCCAAGTAGTCCACTCAGGCAGCTTCGTGAACCAAGCAGCCACAATAATCCCCAAAAACACCATATAAGATTGCCTCAAGATGATCGGAATTCCTCCCGAGAACACGGCCAGCACTCCCACCACCGTAAAGTTGAGGAGTAAGATCAAACAAGTAATGGAATCAACAGGAATAGAAAATTGCTGGATAATAGACAAGAAGATGGACCCGCCCATGGAAGCAAGCACGAAAAACGCAGAGAATCGCATGTAATTCTTCAAGAAATTGGTAAAGTTGTAGTAATAAAGGAGAACGAGAAGGAAGGTGACGACGGCGATGAGGATGACGAAGACCAGGGCATTGAGAAGGGCACCTTCGAGCTTCTGGGTGGCGGAATCGGAGGGGGTCTCGAGGTAGACGAGATTGGCGGCGGTGCGAATTGGGGCGGAGGCGAGAGGGTCGGCGGAGGAGAGGGAATACACCAACAAGACGACGAGAAGCATACAGATTGAGACCGGAGACATGACGCCGATGATCTCGACGCCGATCGTATCCAGTACGCTCGACTCCATGGCTGAGGATTCCGGCGACGGGACAGTCACAGATTTTGGGTTTCGATTTCCATTTCAATTTCCAACCACCTCTAGGGAGGAGGGAGAGAAAACAGATGCGCCAATTTCTCGAGATTTGCCTTGTTAGAAAAATCAAGGTTAAAATACTTTCCGCTTTAGAAACAAATTCTTTTCCTTCAGTTGTTCCAACTCTACTTCATTTTAGGGCACGTTTTGGTTGTCATTTCAGATCTTGCTATTATATATTCGTATATGGAAATCGATATTTTCATGTATTTACAGATTAATAATAAAAATAAAAATAAAAATAAACCGATAAAATATACAAAATATCAACAAAACGTTATTAATATATACATAATATTAATATTAATAATTTTTTACTTGTTTAGAAATAGAAAAATATTTATTTGTTAATTTAAATATTTTTTACGATTTTTTTTTAAATTTTCATCGACATCAATATTTTTTCGATATTTTTATGAAATTGAGATATCTACATTTGTATCGATGTCGACATTTAAAACTTTGATTCAAATATTGAAATGAATTAAATATATTTAGTAAATATCTATTTTGTAGACTTATTTTTTAAAATTGTTTTAAAATTAATTAGAAATTTCGAAAACAAGTTTTTTTATATATATTTTTAATATTTTTAGATTTTGAATTTGAACCTTTAAAATGTAGAATTATAAACCAATTTGATAAATATACTATTTTAAATTATAAACCTGTTTCATTTTTATTAAAGTTAAAAAATGTAAAATATAATATAGTATAAATTACACAGTATTACAACATTTATAATATATATGTCGATAAATTAATTAATATTATTTAATTGAATTAAACATTTAATTGGTAAGTGTTTACAAATATATTACTAACTACTCTTTACAATTTCTTAGATTGAGATTTTCAATTTTCTAATTTATATTATCACTTAGCTATTCTAGCTTTGACAGTATTGCTGTTAATTTGTTAAAAGTATATATTCCAAAATGAACCTTTTCAAAATATATAACCAAAATAATATTTTAACCAAAAATCAAATCAATTTTTTTGTTTTTTTTTCTAAAAGGAAAATAAAATCAATTTATCATAAATCTATATTGGATTAAATAATAAATTTCGTCTAAAAGCTTTCATGATTTTATCGGTCTACTTTAAAACATTTCTAATAAATTTCTAAACTTAATTCAATAGATCTTGCTGTGAATTAGTTTCACACGTACATTACTAAATATTTGAAGCTGGTCCAAACTAATTCTACCTCGTAATCTTTAAATAATACAAGTAGCATGGTACATTAGCAGTAAACTGACAAACTTAGTGATGAGAACTTGTTAAATATAAAATTTTAAGAAGTTATCGTTTAAAAGATTAGAAGTTCGAATCTTCACGACAAAATATTATTGAATTAAGAAAAGTTAGAGAGGTAAGGAGGACTTAAAGCTCTTACCTAAACCTCAACAATAAAATACATAAACTTAATTAGTTACTACAAATATTTTCGATTTTAGTTTATTTTGGTTCTTATACTTTTGAAAGTAATCATTCTGGTCAATCATTTTAATTTTTGTCCCATTTCTTTCGAGTTTCAATAATGATTTTAGCAAGAGATCACTTCACCCACTAAACTTTTTTTGAAATAAACAATAAATTTGTATTAAAGGGTTTTCATGGTGTATAATATTTGTGTTAAAATTTTACGATTATAAACCAAAATTGGTCACTTTTTAAAAGCACATGGATCAAAATAGTATTCAAACTTGAAAGGGTTAATATATTAATTCTACAAATTGTGATCTGAGTTAATGTTCAACAAAAAATTTGGTACCTCTCTAATTAAAATTCAATGATGATTAAAGCATTAAAAAAAGGGGAGATTAAAGCATTAATAACTTTTTATTCGGATCGAAATATTTTGGTAAAGAAAAAAAAACGTCTAAAGATGTTGATTTGATGCTATTTAAAATTGCAACCATAAATTTCATGGTTGAATATTTTAATTTTCTATTTTTGTTCATAATGTATTGTTCCATAAAAAGGAACTGACTTCAACCATAAATTTCAGACAAATTTGAAGTGAAAAAAAAAAAGACAGTGAACCATGATTTTCCTTTCCAAATTTCAAGATTAAAATATTATGTTCAAATATTTATATATCAAGAAACAGAATTTGTGAACCGATGAATTTTCCTTTAATAAATGATTTCTTTTATTTGATGATTGAAGAAGATCATAAATAATTTTAACAGAAGTAATGTCGATAGCTTTTAAAATTGAAATGTTTCTTTCATCTCTCGTTTATAATGTAACTATTATTTTTTATATATAATAGAGAAACGTACGAGTTAACTTCTAAAAAAGACATTCTATATAAAAAATATTATCAAGCACTTTTTCAAATTCATAATATTTTARGAGATTTAATTAATTCAATTGAAACTTTTAAAACAATAAGGATCAAATTAACCAAACRCTAACTACATTGACTAATATAATGAGTGAGAATTTTTAATTAAAAATAATTTGCATAGATCACCTTATCCAATTAAAAGTAGTAGGTACTTGATAGTAAGGTATGAGATGGAACCTTGAAACCAAGATTGGCACTACGAGTCTAGGCCCATAGACCAATAGACCAGCGAGTTGAAACTCGATTAAATGATTCTAGTATAAAGGTACAAGATGAGACCTAGAAGCTTGGAATATAACTTTGTAGATATTCTAGGATGCGTTTGGTTGATGATATGAAAATAAAAGATTCAATGAAAATAGAGTTGTTTTCAGTATTTTCAGACATGTGTTTGGTAGTAGATATGAAAATTGAACCAATGTATTATATAACGGGGTTTAAATCTCATTTTAGTCCTTGTAATTTTAGCTTTGTTTCACTTTGATTCTTGTACTTTGGAAACATATATTTTTATCCTAGAACTTTGAAAAACTGTATATTTTAGTCATGTTGTTAATAAGTTAATGAATTAATGACATGGCTACCAACATGGCTTTATATAGTGCAAGTAGGTTGTCAAAAAAGCGATCAGGTGTCCAGTTCAGTAAAAGTAGATATGGGTCGAATTTTACTCGACCCTCCTCTTATTATTCCAATCCAAAGCTGCTTCTACCTAACCCAATACACCCAACCTACTTATTTGATAACCTACTTACAATATGTAAAGCTACGTCAATAGCCACATCATCAATATGTAAGTTCTTTAAAAAAAACGGTAGAAAATAAAATAGACACATTTTTCAAATATCAGGAATCAAAATAAATATTTTGAAAGTACAAGAACTACAACTACTATCATAGCCGAGCGATTAAGAAATCTACTCCTACCTTTACGTTAAAAGTTCAAATCCCAACCSTCACATGTGTTTCATTTGTTAAAACACAGGAGACTAAAACGAGATTTAAACCAAAAATATCAATTAATTATCCCTCATCCCAACCTTAGTTACCTTTCCATCAACGGCTGGCAATTAAACTCCAATATTATAATTTAATTTATAATAATAAGTAATATATTTTATTTTATTTCTTCACCCAACTTTTTCTGGCACCTACCACTTTCTTCTTCTCCCTCTGTACCCTTATCTCTCTCTCTCTCTCTTCGCCTCTGTAATTCTCTCATGGCCACTGTTCTCCGGACTCCATTTTTTCAGGCGACTCCTCCTGCGAGTGTATCCGCCGTATCCTCCTCCAAATCCAGCCTAAAGCCATCGTCCCTATCCTTTAGAACCTCGCACACTACCATTTATTGCATCAATAGTTCCTCCATGCTTTCTCGCCCTCGTTCTCTCCGGTTCCCGAAGTTCGCGCGTTTTGCTTCTTCTGGTGAAACGGAAGTTAGCGAAATCGAAGAAGAAGTTCGTGAATCTGAGGCTGAGGTACTCTCCGTCTCAATTTTTCCTTTTTTGTGGCGTATTGCTCTGTTTGTGTAGCTGTTTCTTTCTCGAACTAATGTGGTTTGACTCTTTAGTTGGGTAGGTTAGGTAGTGTTGTAGGAGAGGTTGTGTTGTTTATGGTGCTTGGATGGATTCGAAGATGAATACTGTTTATCAATTGGGGAGAATTTGCTTCTGGGTTTGCTGTTAGGAAACAGCTTTGTAGGAGGGAATACGGAATTCTACTGAATTGTCTGTCTAGTAAGACATTCAAAGACCGGATATTTTAGAGAACTTTAGACCCGTCTCACCTTGAAATTATCCACATAATATTTCAAATTTTGTGTTAGCTAAAAAATCGAGAGTATGGAAGCAGTTTTGGGCCCATTATTTGAGTTTTGTTTAACCATTCTTTGCTGCTTTAGTTTTCCACTTTACTTGTCACTTGTTTTGGTTCGTATTGACAGCTTTACTGCATTGCTCTTAGTAAGTTTATTCGAACAAATACCATGTCTCCTCAAAATCTAAAACTCAATAAGTCCTGATTCCTCTATATCCACGCAGCTTTGTGGATAAGGTGATAATATAACATTTGAATTGTACATAGTTAATTCAAGACTAGAATTTAGGTGTGTTGAAATGAAACATAGTTAATAAACTACGGTCTCATGGACCTAACAGCCTAGATTATTAATTAGAATTTGTTTTTGCTAATTGGAAGATGTGGATATTGGGGAGGCTGAGAAAGTGTAATGACTTCTGACTGTGAAAAGTAGATTCACACGGCTTTGGTTTAGATTGTTTTAGTTGAGTTTTTACATAAATTGTGACCTTGAACTTTCTTGTTGCTCATTGATTTATGTAACAGGACTCTTCTGTTAGTTATTCTGGTGTGGAAGATGCTGCAAGTGATAATGACATAAGTGACGATGCAGAAGTTGATACAGAGGATTTGCCTCAATCAGTCATCATATCAGCACTTGAATCCTACAAACAAGCTTTAGCTGATAACAACGGAGCTCAAATAGTAGAAATAGAATCTTTTCTGAAATCAATTGAAGATGAAAAACTTGCAGTTGAAAGGAAATTGCAATCCTTAACTGAAGAACTTACAATAGAGAAGGATCGAATTTTGAGGATCAGTGCCGACTTTGACAATTTTCGGAAGAGAACAGAGAGGGAACGTCTTTCACTGGTAAAAAATGCTCAAGGAGAAGTAGTAGAGACTTTATTGGGTGTCCTGGATAATTTTGAGAGAGCTAGGGCACAGATCAAGGTGGAGACAGAGGGAGAAGAGAAGATCAATCAGAGTTATCAGAGCATCTATAAGCAGTTCACTGAGATTTTGGCCTCATTGGGTGTTGTCCCTGTTGAGACTGTTGGGAAGCCTTTTGACCCACTGGTGAGCTCTTTCTTCTTGTCAACTTGTTAAATTTGCAAAATCTCATGGGCCTTTTTCCCCCCTTTTTCATCAAAGTTACGTCCCTATTGATAATAATAAGTCGGTAGAGCAGATCAGTGAACTTGGCACACACATTCATGTGAACCTTTTGCCTATCTTGGTTGGAAAATGATCATCCTTTTTTCGACACTTTTGATATAGGTAAGATCTTAAAGCTTGATAATCAATGAGCCATTAGATTGTTCTGGTTATTAAAATATCTGAAAATGATGGGATATATCCATCAACTTGATGCGTAAACTTGTGGTATATATTTTATACAATTTATTGCAATGAGAGACTGGATATCAGTCTCCAGAACCTAGCGGAACTGTAGAACCTTCCCTTGCAAACCATTATCATTACTTGATGAACTTCTCCTCTAGTCTGATCTGAATCTCAAAATGGAATATGGTTTAAAGCAACCCCCTTGAGGATTCATGTGTTTTTGTAGAGATTTTGACCATAGGAAATTAAGAATTGTGATCTTTTACAATTGTGAAGACCGCATCATTTTCCAGCTTCCCTCCCTTGTGTTATTCTTATTCATTTATAACATATTAACAATGAGACTGCAGATCAAATATTCCTTGATAATGTTTTTTGCATGAGATATGTGCTGTAAATTATTATGTAAATTTGGAAATCCCTGGGTCCATCCATAAGAAGTGATGCATCTTATAATGGGTTATTTTCTATGGAAAAGGATCAAAGAAGAGAAAGTTACTTTGGAAGTGTGCTATCTTGGCTCCGTTATCGGTTTTATGGTTGGAGCTCAATAAAAGAATTATTGAAGATAAATTTGAAGATCTAGACCAGGTTCAGAGTGAATTTGATAGTATATTGTTGGAGCAAAAAGGTATAAGACTTTGCTAGTTCTACAACTCAGGCCATTTTGTTCAACAGCTGCTATTATTTCTTGGAAATTTAGTATTTCAAGGAGGCCTTTGTCCTCTTGAAATATTGTAACTTATTCAAATTGTTACCATCAATGACAAGGCTATTATTTATGTCTGATATTTGTGACTAATCTATGATTTCTGTCTGATATGATATACATTCTAAACTAGCATGACTTGATCAAACATGGAATTAATCAGGGATCTGCTGTTTAATCTCTCTTTTTAGGGACCAAGTTTGGTAAGTTGAAAATTTCTTTAATCAATTTCTTCCTACAGCTTCATGAAGCAATTATGAGGGAGGACTCCACAGAGTTCGAGGAAGGTATCATACTCGACGAATTCCGTAAAGGATTTCTGCTCGGTGAAAGACTCTTGCGGCCATCAATGGTGAAAGTCTCGGCTGGTCCTGGGCCTGAAAAGTCCGATGAAGTAGCACCTACAGAAGAACAAGATTCAAGTGAAAAGTCTGAGGGCTCCGAGTCGGAGTCTTCTTAAAACTCAGAATCCTCTCGAAAACAATCCAATTTTGAACATAGTTTGAATCTTCTTGGTGCCTAATTTATTGTTGCTCTTGGCGATCAGGCTTTTGCAGGCAGAGAATTTTGATATTTGTTTTGAGGGAATAGCTTTTCGACTCTGGAAAATTGTTGTTTCTGGGAAGATAATTTTAGTGGAATGTTGTATTTGATTTTAAACATTGATTCTCTTTCTAAAACTTTGTTGCTATAACATGTAAAAGAGAATTTACCCAAGTCTATTGCTAAGCATGTAGGATTTGGTTGAATGTGCCTGAATTTGAGGTCAAAAATCAAAATGGGTATGGAAAGTTTCCTTTGTCGGACTAAGTTTATTTGAAAACACTCTTTGTTGCTTTTTTTCCCCTGACAATAGCATAGATGAGATCGAACCATCAATTTTTGGAATATTAAAACATCACTCTCACTCATTCTTATAGCTTTTGTTTTTCCGTTCTTCTTTTTTGTTTGTTTGAGTTCCAAGATGGTAGAGATGAAATCGAACCATCAATTTTTTGGATAGTATGGATTCTAACGATTGCAGAGATCGAACCACTAACTTTTGAGATAGTAAAAGATGTTTTGTTCACTCATCTATATTTGAATTGACTCACTCATTCATATTTGTATTCTTATTTATGTTTTGCCAAATAATGGAAGATTATATTTTTCAATTTTGTGAAACCGACATTAAGAATTATTTAAAAGGAGGCTGTAAGGCATATTTTTTTTCTCAGTTTGCCATGTTCATTGATTTCATATATTTATTGTTTATTTTTCTACTTTTCCTGGGGTCTCACAACTTGAATACCATTCGCATGGACAAGGTACCATATCTAATCGCCTGTAAACTACAATGGAAAGTGTAATGAGCAAATTTTTTTTTCTTTTCATTTTGATATTTCAATTGTAAGAACTTTTTTAAAGGAAGACAAAATTTAAAGATATTACTCATGACCCTATAATTACTATCCCTTCAATTTTTCATTTAACATTTTCACTTTTTCGTTAAAAAGGAACTTCTTTTTAGTAAAACAAATATAGAAGGCAGATGTTTTAATCACTCACTGAGCTCAGAGAAAGAAACTTCGATTTTCCTTTTCTCGTATTCTAAATTCTATTTTTCAGAGAAGACAGTAAAGTTACACCCTATATTGATAGGAGAAAGAGTGAGAGAGGCAGTCAGTTATAGCTTAATAGCTTCTTTCCATTAAAGATACAAAGCTTAGAGACTTGGTACCACATAAGAAATTCATTACAATTTTACTCTATTTTCATGCCTTTGGTGTGATCTTTCCCCTTTTCTTTTTGAATTTTGTGACAATATAACTGTTAAAAAAAGAGAAAATAGAAACATACAAATTGGAGGATGAAGAAGACAGATAGGCAGAAGAACTATAGCTGATAGAAGTTAACAATGGGAGAATAAGAAGAAGAAGAAGATTATCTTCTTAAGAGGTTGTATGCTGGCAGTTCTCTCACACTGGAGACATCTTCAATTGCAAGCTCACGTTCTAACTGACTTCTGGTAGACTTCAAAACATCCTGAAAAAATGAAACAAAAGCCACAGAAGTTAACGTAAAGCCGATCGAGAAGAGGATTCTTCGTTTCAAGTGACTTTCATGGACTCGAATGGCAAGACATTTGTAGGAATACATTACATTGAAATCCATATAGGAGGCGTGCTTGGCGAGCCATTGGGCATCCATCAACCAAAAGGCTATGCAGAATAGGTTATCGAACGCCATCTCATCATCGTCTAGAAATTCTAAGAAACGGATCCCTGCCAATGAACTTGGCTTCCCTGCAACAAAATGATGGAGCCCGATATTGAGATTGGTAATAAGAGAATAAGACTAAATTATATTGCAATATCGAAGAAAAATAAACTGGTTATAGTCAATCATTCGATTTAGCTATCTCTCCCATAATACTAATCCTAAAATTTTGCTTACCCTAAACTCCCAACTTTCTTTATTTTGTAACTGTCAACACTAAACATGACCAACTTCTCAAGTATTTACAAAGCACTCCACTACTAATAGTCCCACTTACAACTATGCCACTACTAATAGTCCTAATAAAATAATATTTAGGTGTTTACCGAAAGTAGCCACCATTAAATTTGAGAAAATAAACCTTTTTTTCCTTTTTTTTTTAAGTTTGAAGATACCTACCTACCAATAAGCACCTAAATATTATTCGTCCACGTAACACAAAAATATAACTTCAATGGTTTTTCAAGGCTCTGGCTCTCTCCATCTCCCTCTCCCTCTCCATCTCCCTCTCTCTCTCTCAAGGATTCACTCACCCTCATGGGAACTCTCTCAGGAGCATGGGAAGACAGATCTTCTAATATTCGAACAGCATCAACATAATGGCTAACAAAAATGGAGAAAATATTCACTTTTAATTGGTGACATGAAATCTTCGTCTTTTTCCCCCTTTCTCTATCCCTATCCCGTGGTGATTTAAAAATGTACGATAATTTGAAGTCCTTCAAGTTTGCATATAAATTCAATTATTCTCATCGTCTTACCTGATTGGAGATCTAACATTTGCACCAACATAAATGAAATGTTGATACCAGCAACCGCAAATGGATATTCCCACTCAGCTCTCTTACCATCTTTTTTATACAACAATCTATGGAATGACTCCTGTAAAGAAACCCAACCGACCATTTACAAGTATTAATCACAGAAAATATATTATCAATCTAGCTAGAAGGAAAAAGAAAATATCACTTGGTAAATCGATTGACACCATCTATAATATTCAGCTGGTCTTGAGGAATATTATAAAGTGAATTTTTAACTATTCATAACCCCAAAGCTTGGAGTGAGTGACTACAAAAA